AACAAAACGTGCCAATTCGTCACTGGTTCTAGCACACGCACAAAAAACAACTTCTGTTATGTACATCGCTCGTGAAACGTTAGGAACCCCCCCGCCCCAAACTATGATACGAACGCAAAGCCTGAAGTAGTCGTTGATGATTCGGGGCTGCTGGCACTTTGATCCAGACTCCACTCCTGATCCTCGCTCCAGACTCCACTCCTGATCCTCGCTCCAGACTCCACTCCAGACTCCACTCCTGATCCTCGCCCATCAACTTTGTCAACTCTCTCGCTCTGTCCCCCCCCCCCCCCCCCCCGTTGCACTTGTTGTTGCGAGCACGCAGGAGACGCGAGTCTGGAAGACACGGCGTTAGGGGACAACACCACCCACCCCCCACCCCCTTCCCCGTCAACTCCCCGACACACGAAGACAATTAAATAACAAAAAACTCGCGTTTGACAAAGCGACGCGTTTCAGCGGAGACTCGTGGTTGTTACCAGGTGCCACGGAAACCGGCCTGGATTCTCCGCGACGACGACGCCCCAGACGTCCGCACTTCCTTGATGGTGGGACGCACGAGAGGGTTTGTGTTTTGTGTGGAGCTCAAAGCGAGAGAGAAAGACGTCCGTGTAAAAAATCGGGACTCGGGGGATCTCGCGACCGCCCGGATTCACCGATGATCTCTCTTCCCCCTCCTCTTTGCCGGCGTCGCGAGGACGCAGGAGAGGCGAGGGATTCTGGAAGATAAAACGTCAGGACCACTCCCCCCCCCCACCAACTCCGATACGAACGCAAAGCCTGAAGAAGTCGTTGATAATGCGAATGTCAACGGCGTTTTAACTTTACCAGGTGTCCCGTTAACGGCCTGGATTCTCCTCCCGACGACGCCCCAGACATCTGCACGCCCTCCACTCCACTTGCAACAACACGAAGCCGCGTGGAGTTGAACCGAGACATCAAAGACGCAGACCTGGCTCCCTGTCCCGTCACTGCCCCGTTGGGGCTTCCTTGGTTTGGAGCTGTACCGAGATGTTTGATGTTTGAGCGAGAGTAGACCAGGGAGAGGATTCTGGAAGACAGAACGTTAGAGACCCCCCCACCAAATCCACCCTGATACAAACACAAGGCCTGTAGTACTAGCAGCAGCAAGGCAAATGTGAATGTCAAAGTATTTACGGTGTAACCAGGTCCCGTTCACTGCCTGGAACGGCCGATGATAGAGGAGCAATTTGCGCTTCCTTCCCTCTTGCTGTCCCCTTGTACGATGTCGCGAGGTTGCTTGGGAGGTGCACAGAGAACGTGTGGAGTTGCACTGAAGTTGCGAGGAGTTGGAGCAAGGTTGAATGAAATTGTTCTGAGGTTACTTCAAGTTGCACCGAGGTAACGTGGAGTTGCACCGAGGTTGTATGGAAGAGTTGCAGCGAGGTTGTGTGCGGTTGCACCGAGGAAATTGCGGAGTTGAACAGAGACGTCTGCGCTAGGCACAATTGCTGGGGTCCTGTAACAGAACGTTAGGAGCCCCTCCCCCCACCCACCACCCAAAAGGCCAACACTGCACACCACTTGCTAGCAAAGTCACCATCAACGCCATTTCCTGGCTTACTCAACTATTTCGGGACAGCCGTAGGAAAACATTAATTTCAATCTTCAGGTCACATGACGTAAACTTCATGCTGTGGTTATTCGCTAATTAGGTTTCAAGTTGTGCCTTGATTAAAACTTTCACAAAGTCCTGCTGACAACATTTCCCTGCGTGGCCAATTAAGAACACCAAAACGTCAACAAATCTCAAATAGACATCCACATCGCTCGTTTGGTGAGCAAGGCCGAGGATCGGGCCGGAGACTCGCACGGTTACCTGGGTTGAGAACTCGCCCAGGGACATCTTTCTCAAAGTTGGGGGTGGCAGGAACGGATGCCAGCGTGTCCGATTCCCCATCACCACCACCATCACCCGCTCAGCCTTGACAATGATAAACACAACCTCCGTGTTCACACTCGTGGCTACCTAGGAGCACTGCTCATGACCACTGCATAGTAATAATGTTGCTACTGTGGGTAGCAAGAGACATTGAAACTCCCTGATGGACGCTGTTGGAGTTGCATCAAGGTTCCGTTGAGTAGCACCGAGGCTGTGTGAAGTTCCAGTAAAGAATTGCGTGGAGTTGAACAGAAACGTCTGCGCTAGGCACAACTGCTGGAGTCCTGTAACACAGAACATTAGGAGCCCCTCCCCCTTCCCCGATACAAACAAATCCTGTAGTAGTAGCAGCAGCGAGGCAAATTCAAACGCACGGCCAAAGGAGTTGCGTTGTTACCAGGAGTTCCGCTAACTGCCTGAATCCACCGCCGATTCGACCGTTTGCACTTCCATCCTCTACACTTGAACCGAGACATCGAGACGCAGACCTGGCTCCCTGTCCCGTCACTGCTTGGGATCTCTGCTCCGTTGGGGCTTCCTTGGTTTGGAGCTGTACCGAGATGTTTGATGTTTGAGCGAGAGTAGACCAGGGAGAGGATTCTGGAAGACAGAACGTTAGAGACCCCCCCACCAAATCCACCCTGATACAAACACAAGGCCTGTAGTACTAGCAGCAGCAAGGCAAATGTGAATGTCAAAGTATTTACGGTGTAACCAGGTCCCGTTCACTGCCTGGAACGGCCGATGATAGAGGAGCAATTTGCGCTTCCTTCCCTCTTGCTGTCCCCTTGTACGATGTCGCGAGGTTGCTTGGGAGGTGCACAGAGAACGCGTGGAGTTGCACTGAAGTTGCGAGGAGTTGGAGCAAGGTTGAATGAAATTGTTCTGAGGTTACTTCAAGTTGCACCGAGGTAACGTGGAGTTGCACCGAGGTTGTATGGAAGAGTTGCAGCGAGGTTGTGTGCGGTTGCACCGAGGAAATTGCGGAGTTGAACAGAGACGTCTGCGCTAGGCACAATTGCTGGGGTCCTGTAACAGAACGTTAGGAGCCCCTCCCCCCACCCACCACCCAAAAGGCCAACACTGCACACCACTTGCTAGCAAAGTCACCATCAACGCCATTTCCTGGCTTACTCAACTATTTCGGGACAGCCGTAGGAAAACATTAATTTCAATCTTCAGGTCACATGACGTAAACTTCATGCTGTGGTTATTCGCTAATTAGGTTTCAAGTTGTGCCTTGATTAAAACTTTCACAAAGTCCTGCTGACAACATTTCCCTGCGTGGCCAATTAAGAACACCAAAACGTCAACAAATCTCAAATAGACATCCACATCGCTCGTTTGGTGAGCAAGGCCGAGGATCGGGCCGGAGACTCGCACGGTTACCTGGGTTGAGAACTCGCCCAGGGACATCTTTCTCAAAGTTGGGGGTGGCAGGAACGGATGCCAGCGTGTCCGATTCCCCATCACCACCACCATCACCCGCTCAGCCTTGACAATGATAAACACAACCTCCGTGTTCACACTCGTGGCTACCTAGGAGCACTGCTCATGACCACTGCATAGTAATAATGTTGCTACTGTGGGTAGCAAGAGACATTGAAACTCCCTGATGGACGCTGTTGGAGTTGCATCAAGGTTCCGTTGAGTAGCACCGAGGCTGTGTGAAGTTCCAGTAAAGAATTGCGTGGAGTTGAACAGAAACGTCTGCGCTAGGCACAACTGCTGGAGTCCTGTAACACAGAACATTAGGAGCCCCTCCCCCTTCCCCGATACAAACAAATCCTGTAGTAGTAGCAGCAGCGAGGCAAATTCAAACGCACGGCCAAAGGAGTTGCGTTGTTACCAGGAGTTCCGCTAACTGCCTGAATCCACCGCCGATTCGACCGTTTGCACTTCCATCCTCTACACTTGAACCGAGACATCGAGACGCAGACCTGGCTCCCTGTCCCGTCACTGCTTGGGATCTCTGCTCCGTTGGGGCTTCCTTGGTTTGGAGCTGTACCGAGATGTTTGATGTTTGAGCGAGAGTAGACCAGGGAGAGGATTCTGGAAGACAGAACGTTAGAGATCCCCCCCCACTCCCCCTGATACAAACACAAGGCCTGTAGTAGTAGTAGCAGTAGCAAGGCAAATGTGAATGTCAAAGTATTTACGGTGTTACCGGGTCCCGTTAACTGCCTGGAATGGCCGATGATAGAGGAGCAATTTGCGCTTCCTTCCCTCTTGCTGTCCCCTTGTACGATGTCGCGAGGTTGCTTGGGAGTTGCACAGAGAACGTGTGGAGTTGCACTGAAGTTGTGAGGAGTTGGAGCAAGGTTGCGTGAAGGTGTTCTGAAGTTAAGTAGAGTTGCACCGAGGTTGTGTGGAGGGGTTGCAGCGAGGTTGTGTGGAGTTGTAACTGAGGCCATGTGGAGTTGCACTGAAGTTGCACTGAAGTTGCGAGGAGTTGGAGCAAGGTTGCGTGAAGGTGTTCTTAAGTTACGTAGAGTTGCACCGAGGTAACGTGGAGTTGCACCGAGGTTGGATGGAAGAGTTGCACTGAGGCCGTGTGAGTTGCAACTGAGGAAGTTGCGAGGAGTTGAACAGAGACGTCTACGCTAGGCACAACTGCTGGGGTCCTGTAACAGAACGTTAGGAGCCCCTCCCCCCACCCACCACCCCAAAGGCCAACACTGCACACCACTTGCTAGCAATGTCACCATCAACGCCCTTTCCTGGCTTACTCAACTATTTCGGGACAGCCGTAGGAAAACATTAATTTCAATCTTCAGGTCACATGACGTAAACTTCATGCCGTGGTTATTTGCTAATTAGGTTTCAAGTTGTGCCTTGATTAAAACTTTCACAAAGTCCTGCTGACAACATTTCCCTGCGTGGCCAATTAAGAACACTAAAACGTCAACAAACCTCAAATAGACATCCACATCGCTCGTTTGGTGAGCAAGGCCGAGGATCGGGCCGGAGACTCGCACGGTTACCTGGGTTGAGAACTCGCCCAGGGACATCTTTCTCAAAGTTGGGGGTGGCAGGAACGGATGCCAGCGTGTCCGATTCCCCATCACCACCACCACCACCCGCTCAGCCTTGACAATGACAAACACAACCTCCGTGTTCACACTCGTGGCTACCTAGGAGCACTGCTCATGACCACTGCATAGTAATAATGTTGCTACTGTGGGTAGCAAGAGACATTGAAACTCCCTGATGGACGCTGTTGGAGTTGCATCAAGGTTCCGTTGAGTAGCACCGAGGCTGTGTGGAGTTCCAGTAAAGAATTGCGTGGAGTTGAACAGAAACGTCTGCGCTAGGCACAACTGCTGGAGTCCTGTAACACAGAACATTAGGAGCCCCTCCCCCCTCCCCGATACAAACAAATCCTGTAGTAGTAGCAGCAGCGAGGCAAATTCAAACGCACGGCCAAAGGAGTTGCGTTGTTACCAGGAGGTCCGTTAACTGCCTGAATCCACCGCCGATTCGACCGTTTGCACTTCCATCCTCTGCACTTGAACCGAGACATCGAGAGGCAGACCTGGCTCCCTGTCCTGTCACTGCCTGGGATCTCTGCCCTGTTGGGGCTTCCTTGGTTTGGAGCTGTACCGAGATGTTTGATGTTTGAGCGAGAGTAGACCAGGGAGAGGATTCTGGAAGACAGAACGTTAGAGACCCCCCCCCCACTCCCCCTGATACAAACACAAGGCCTGTAGTAGTAGTAGCAGTAGCAAGGCAAATGTGACTGTCAAAGTATTTACGGTGTTACCGGGTCCCGTTAACTGCCTGGAATGGCCGATGATAGAGGAGCAATTTGCGCTTCCTTCCCTCTTGCTGTCCCCTTGTACGATGTCGCGAGGTTGCTTGGGAGTTGCACAGAGAACGTGTGGAGTTGCACTGAAGTTGCGAGGAGTTGGAGCAAGGTTGAATGAAGTTGTTCTGAGGTTACGTGGAGTTGCACCGAGGTAACGTGGAGTTGCAGCGAGGTTGTGTGGAGTTGTAACTGAGGCCGTGTGGAGTTGCACCGAAGTTGTGAGGAGTTGGAGCAAGGTTGCGTGAAGGTGTTCTTAAGTTACGTGAAGTTGCACCGAGGTTGTATGGAGGAGTTGCACTGAGGCCGTATGAGTTGCAACTGAGGAAGTTGCGTGGAGTTGAACAGAGACGTCTGCGCTAGGCACAACTGCTGGGGTCCTGTAACATAGAACGTTAGGAGCCCCTCCCCCCACACACCACCCCAGAGCCACAATGGCCAACACTGCACACCGTTGCTAGCAATGTCACCATCAACGCCCTTTCCAGGCTTAGGGAAATATTCAGGATAGTCGTAAGAAAACATTGATCTCAATCTTCAGCTCACATGACGTAAACTTCACGCTGTGTTCATTTGCAAATAAAGGTTTAAAGTTTTGCCTCGATTAAAACTTTAACAAAGTCCTGCCGACAACTTTCCCCGCGTGTTCAATTATGAATGCCAAAAGTTCAATTCATCAAACCTCGGTCTAACACGTCGCACGCTTTCGCGACCACGATGATTCACGGTGAAGGTGTTTTTGTGTCAGATCGCGTTATTTTTAAATGTGTCGCAACCCTCCACCACCCGACACGGCCAATCAGTAAAAAGATGTGTCACGTTGACAAGAGACAAAATAGTTCACCACTTTAGCCCGCCGGTGTGTTGCAGAGCGGATCCACAACATTGACAATCTGGGTAGCGTGACGTTTCACTGCAAATCACATCCGGCACCTTCGGGCAAATTTGCCAGAATAGTGAAACCATCCACCTGCTCTGGTCTTAAATAGCGCAGGATGACCGTGCCATCGTTGTTGAACCCCATCAGGATTCGAGATCAGAGGCGGGGGAATATGCAATCAAGTAACAGATCAGTAATCAGCAACTTAGCATGTCACTGACCTGTAAGCAATTGCAAAGTGTGTTGAGTGTTACTTAATAATACGCTTCCATATTCTTTGGGTCTTTCGGTAAAGTCACGTGGCTTTACCGAATGACCCAAAGAATATTAATTCCTGCAGTCACGAAAGCTTTAAGTCGAGATTTAAGACGCCTCCAGGCTGCGCCGAGCCGGTTGCGAACAGAGCGGGTTGAAATTATTTGAATTCTTCTCAATTCAGATTTATTCTCCAACTAATCTCGGCCAGTAATAACTAGCTCCGCGTAACACTTCAACGTTATCAAAATCAATTGAATGTCCTCGTTGGCAAGTGAGCTCAGCCACTGCCGACAGCTGCGTTTGGGAGAATTTAATGTTCCTTTGGTGTTCAAGTAGACATCCACATCGCTCGTTTGGTGAGCAAGGCCGAGGATCGGGCCGGAGAATCGCACAGTTACCTGGGTTGAGAACTCGCCCAGACATCTTTCTCAAAGTTGGGGGTGGCAGGAACGGATGCCAGCGTGTCCGATTCCCCATCACCACCCGCTCAGCCTTGACAATAATAAAACACAACCCCCATGATGCTCACGCGTGGCTACAGATCACGGGAGGATTCTGGAAGACAGAACGTTAGAGACCCCCCCCCACTCCCCCTAATACAAACACAAAGCCTGTAGTAGTAGCAGCAGCAAGGCAAATGTGAATGTCAAAGTATTTACGGTGTTACCGGGTCCCGTTAACTGCCTGGAATGGCCGATGATAGAGGAGCAATTTGCGCTTCCTTCCCTCTTGCTGTCCCCTTGTACGATGTCGCGAGGTTGCTTGGGAGGTGCACAGAGAACACGTGGAGTTGCACTGAAGTTGCGAGGAGTTGGAGCAAGGTTGCGTGAAGGTGTTCTCAGGTTACGTAGAGTTGCACCGAGGTAACGTGGAGTTGCACCGAGGTTGTATGGAAGAGTTGCACTGAGGCCGTGTGAGTTGCAACTGAGGAAGTTGAGTGGAGTTGAACAGAGACGTCTGCGCTAGGCACAACTGCTGGGGTCCTGTAACATAGAACGTTAGGAGCCCCTTCCCCCACCCACCACCCCAGAGCCACAATGGCCAACACTGCACACCGCTTGCTAGTAATGTCACCATCAACGCGCTTTCCTGGCTTAGGGAAATAATCAGGATAGCCCTAAGAAAACATTGATTTCAATCTTCAAATCACATTACGTAAACTTCATGCTGTGGATATTCTATAATTAGGCTTCAAGTATTGACTCGTTAAAAACTTTCAAAGTCCTCCTGACAACTTTTCCCCGCGTGGCCAATTACGAAAACTAATTGCTCATTTGGTGAGCAAGACCGAGGATCGGGCCGGAGACTCGCACGGTTACCTGGGTTGAGAACTCGCCCAGACAGCTTTCTCAAAGTTGGGGGTGGCAGGAACGGATGCCAGCGTGTCCGATTCCCCATCGCCACCACCACCACCCGCTCAGCCTTAACAATAATAAAACACAACCTCCTTGATGCTCACGCGTGGCTACAGAGCACGGCTCATTGCCATTGATAATAAAGGATGCTGCTGCTGTGGGTAGCGAGAGACATTGACACTCCCTGATGGACGCTGTTGGTCGTCTCTGGCCTCTCCTGTCCAGGACTGGGTTGTAACAGCGGTAGGGGGTTGCGTTTCTTCCATTCCGCCCATCGCCACCATCGCCCGCTCAGCCTTGACAATGATAAACACGACATCCGTGTTCACACTCGTGGCTACCTATCAGCACTGCACATGACCACTGCATAGTAATAATGTTGCTGCTGTGGATAGCAAGAGACATTGACACTCCCTGATAGACGGTGTTGACGTTGCATCAAGGTTGCGTTGAGTAGCACCGAGGCTGTGTGGAGTTCCAGTAAGGAATTGCGTGGAGTTGAACAGAGACGTCTGCGCTAGGTACAACTGCTGGGGTCCTGTAACAGAACGTTAGGAGCCCCTCCCCCCACCCACCACCCCAAAGGCCAACACTGCACACCACTTGCTAGCAATGTCACCATCAATGCCCTTTCCTGGCTTACTCAACTCTTTCGGGACAGCCGTAGGAAAACATTAATTTCAATCATCAGGTCACATGACGTAAACTTCATGCCGTGCTTATTCGCTAATTAGGTTTCAAGTTGTGCCTTGATTAAAACTTTCACAAAGTCCTGCTGACAACATTTCCCTGCGTGGCCAATTAAGAACACCAAAACGTCAACAAACCTCAAATAGACATCCACATCGCTCGTTTGGTGAGCAAGGCCGAGGATCGGGCTGGAGACTCGCACGGCTACCTGGGTTGAGAACTCGCCCAGGGACATCTTTCTCAAAGTTGGGGGTGGCAGGAACGGATGCCAGCGTGTCAGATTCCCCATCACCACCACCACCACCACCCGCTCAGCCTTGACAATGATAAACACAACCTCCGTGTACACTCGTGGCTACCTAGCAGCACTGCTCATGACCATTGCATAGTAATAATGTTGCTGCTGTGGGTAGCAAGAGACATTGACACTCCCTGATGGACGGTGTTGACGTTGCATCAAAGTTGCGTTGAGTAGCAACGAGGCTGTGTGGAGTTCCAGTAAGGAATTGCGTGGAGTTGAACAGAGACGTCTGCGCTAGGCACAACTGCTGGGGTCCTGTAACACAGAACGTTAGGAGCCCCTCCCCCCTCCCCGATACAAACAAATCCTGTAGTAGTAGCAGCAGCGAGGCAAATTCAAACGCACGGACAAAGGAGTTGCGTTGTTACCAGGTCCGCTAACTGCCCGTATCCACCGCCGATTCGACCGTTTGCACTTCCATCCTCTGCACTTGAACCATGACATCGAGACGCAGACCTGGCTCCCTGTCCTGTCACTGCCTGGGATCTCTGCCCCGTTGGGGCTTCCTTGGTTTGGAGCTGTACCGAGATGTTTCAGAGTAGACCAGGGAGAGGATTCTGGAAGACAGAACGTTAGAGACCCCCCCACTCCCCCCTGATACAAACACAAGGCCTGTAGTAGTATCAGCAAGGCAAATGTGAATGTCAAAGTATTTACGGTGTTACCGGGTCCCGTTAACTGCCTGGAATGGCCGATGTTAGAGGAGCAATTTGCGCTTCCTTCCCTCTTGCTGTCCCCTTGTACGATGTCGCGAGGTTGCTTGGGAGGTGCAACCGAGAACGTGGAGTTGCACTGAAGTTGTGAGGAGTTGGAGCAAGGTTGCGTGAAGGTGTTCTTAAGTTACGTAGAGTTTCCCTGAGGCCGTGTGGAGTTGCAACTGAGGGAGTTGCGTAGAGTTGAACAGAGACGTCTGCGCTAGGCACAACTGATGGGGTCCTGTAACATAGAACGTTAGGAGCCCCTCCCCCCACCCACCACCCCAGAGCCACAATGGCCAACACTGCACACCGCTCGCTAGCAATGTCACCATCAACGCCCTTTCCTGGCTTAGGGAAATATTCAGGATAGCCGTAAGAAAACATTGATTTCAATCTTCAGGTCACATTACGGAAACTTCATGCTGTGGTCATTTGCAAATAAAGGTTTCAAGTTTTGCCTCGATTAAAACTTTCACAAAGTCCTGCCGACAACATTTCCGCGTTTCCAATTACGAAAACTAATTGCTGGTTTGGTGAGTAAGGCCGAAGATCGGGCCGGAGACTCAGACGGTTACCTGGGTTGAGAACTCGCCCAGACATCTTTCTCAAAGTTGGGGGGGCAGGAACGGATGCCAGCGTGTCCGATTCCCCATCACCACCACCACCCGCTCAGCCTTGACAATAATAAAACACAACCTCCATGATGCTCACGCGTGGCTACACAGCACGGCTCATTGCCATTGATAATAAAGAATGCTGCTGCTGTGGGTAGCGAGAGACATTGACACTCCCTGATGGACGCTGTTGGTCGTCCCTGGCCTCTCCTGTCCAGGACTGGGTTGTAACAGCGGTAGGGGGTTGGCGTTTCTCCCATTCCGCCCATCGTCACCATCACCCGCTCAGCCTTGACAACGATAAACACGACCTCCGTGTTCACACTCGTGGCTACCTAGCAGCACTGCTCATGACCATTGCATAGTAATAATGTTGCTGCTGTGGGTAGCAAGAGACATTGGACACTCCCTGGTGGCGTTGAGTAGCACCGAGGCTGTGTGGAGTTCCAGTAAGGAATTGCGTGGAGTTGAACAGAGACGTCTGCGCTAGGCACAACTGCTGGGGTCCTGTAACACAGAACGTTAGCAGCCCCTCCCCGATACAAACAAATCCTGTAGTAGTAGCAGCAGCGAGGCAAATTCAAAAGCACGGCCAAAGGAGCTGCGGTGTTACCAGGAGGTCCGCTAACTGCCCGTATCCACCGCCGATTCGACCGTTGCACTTCCTTCCTCTGCACTTGAGCCGAGACATCAAAGACGCAGACCTGGCTCCCTGTCCCGTCACTGCCTGGGATCTCTGCCCCGTTGGGGCTTCCTTGGTTTGGAGCTGTACCGAGATGTTGAGATGATGTTCAAAGATAAAAGGAGAGTAGACCCGGGGAGGATTCTGGAAGACAGAACGTTAGAGTACCCCCCCCCCCCACTCCCCCCTGATACAAACACAAGGCCTGTAGTAGTAGCAGCAGCAAGGCAAATGTGAATGTCAAAGTATTTACGGTGTTACCAGGTCCCGTTAACTGCCTGGAATGCCCGATGATAGAGGAGCAATTTGTGCTTCCTTCCCTCTTGCTGTCCCCTTGTACGATGTCGCGAGGTTGCTTGGGAGGTGCACAGAGAACGTGGAGTTGCACTGAAGTTGCGAGGAGTTGGAGCAAGGTTGCGTGAAGGTGTTCTGAGGTTACGTAAAGTTGCACGGAGGTTGTGTAGAGGAGTTGCAGCGAGGTTGTGTGGAGGAGTTGCAACTGAGGAAGTTGAGTTGAGTTGAACAGAGACGTCTGCGCTAGGCACAACTGCTGGGGTCCTGTAACATAGAACGTTAGGAGCCCCTCCCACCACCCCAGAGCCACAATGGCCAACACTGCACACCGCTTGCTAGCAATGTCACCATCAACGCCCTTTCCTGGCTTAGGGAAATATTCAGGATAGCCGTAAGAAAACATTGATTTCAATCTTCAGGTCACATTACGTAAACTTCATGCTGTGGTTATTTGTAAATGAAGGTTTCAAGTTTTGCCTCCATTAAAACTTTCAACGTCCTCCTGACGATTCCCTGCGTTTCCAATTACGAAAACTAATCGCTCGATTGATGAGCAAGGCCGAGGATCGGGCCGGAGACTCGCACGGTTACCTGGGTTGAGAACTTGCCCAGACATCTTTCTCAAAGTTGGGGGTGGCAGGAACGGATGCCAGCATGTCCGATTCCCCACCACCACCCGCTCAGCCTTGACAATGATAAACACAACCTCCGTGTTCACACTCGTGGCTACCTAGCAGCACTGCACATGACCACTGCATAGTAATAATGTTGCTGCTGTGGATAGCAAGAGACATTGACACTCCCTGATAGACGGTGTTGACGTTGCATCAAGGTTGCGTTGAGTAGCACCGAGGCTGTGTGGAGTTCCAGTAAGGAATTGCGTGGAGTTGAACAGAGACGTCTGCGCTAGGTACAACTGCTGGGGTCCTGTAACAGAACGTTAGGAGCCCCTCCCCCCACCCACCACCCCAAAGGCCAACACTGCACACCACTTGCTAGCAATGTCACCATCAATGCCCTTTCCTGGCTTACTCAACTCTTTCGGGACAGCCGTAGGAAAACATTAATTTCAATCATCAGGTCACATGACGTAAACTTCATGCCGTGCTTATTCGCTAATTAGGTTTCAAGTTGTGCCTTGATTAAAACTTTCACAAAGTCCTGCTGACAACATTTCCCTGCGTGGCCAATTAAGAACACCAAAACGTCAACAAACCTCAAATAGACATCCACATCGCTCGTTTGGTGAGCAAGGCCGAGGATCGGGCTGGAGACTCGCACGGTTACCTGGGTTGAGAACTCGCCCAGGGACATCTTTCTCAAAGTTGGGGGTGGCAGGAACGGATGCCAGCGTGTCAGATTCCCCATCACCACCACCACCACCACCCGCTCAGCCTTGACAATGATAAACACAACCTCCGTGTACACTCGTGGCTACCTAGCAGCACTGCTCATGACCATTGCATAGTAATAATGTTGCTGCTGTGGGTAGCAAGAGACATTGACACTCCCTGATGGACGGTGTTGACGTTGCATCAAAGTTGCGTTGAGTAGCAACGAGGCTGTGTGGAGTTCCAGTAAGGAATTGCGTGGAGTTGAACAGAGACGTCTGCGCTAGGCACAACTGCTGGGGTCCTGTAACACAGAACGTTAGGAGCCCCTCCCCCCTCCCCGATACAAACAAATCCTGTAGTAGTAGCAGCAGCGAGGCAAATTCAAACGCACGGACAAAGGAGTTGCGTTGTTACCAGGTCCGCTAACTGCCCGTATCCACCGCCGATTCGACCGTTTGCACTTCCATCCTCTGCACTTGAACCATGACATCGAGACGCAGACCTGGCTCCCTGTCCTGTCACTGCCTGGGATCTCTGCCCCGTTGGGGCTTCCTTGGTTTGGAGCTGTACCGAGATGTTTCAGAGTAGACCAGGGAGAGGATTCTGGAAGACAGAACGTTAGAGACCCCCCCACTCCCCCCTGATACAAACACAAGGCCTGTAGTAGTATCAGCAAGGCAAATGTGAATGTCAAAGTATTTACGGTGTTACCGGGTCCCGTTAACTGCCTGGAATGGCCGATGTTAGAGGAGCAATTTGCGCTTCCTTCCCTCTTGCTGTCCCCTTGTACGATGTCGCGAGGTTGCTTGGGAGGTGCAACCGAGAACGTGGAGTTGCACTGAAGTTGTGAGGAGTTGGAGCAAGGTTGCGTGAAGGTGTTCTTAAGTTACGTAGAGTTTCCCTGAGGCCGTGTGGAGTTGCAACTGAGGGAGTTGCGTAGAGTTGAACAGAGACGTCTGCGCTAGGCACAACTGATGGGGTCCTGTAACATAGAACGTTAGGAGCCCCTCCCCCCACCCACCACCCCAGAGCCACAATGGCCAACACTGCACACCGCTCGCTAGCAATGTCACCATCAACGCCCTTTCCTGGCTTAGGGAAATATTCAGGATAACCGTAAGAAAACATTGATTTCAATCTTCAGGTCACATTACGGAAACTTCATGCTGTGGTCATTTGCAAATAAAGGTTTCAAGTTTTGCCTCGATTAAAACTTTCACAAAGTCCTGACGACAACATTTCCGCGTTTCCAATTACGAACACTAATTGCTGGTTTGGTGAGTAAGGCCGAGGATCGGGCCGGAGACTCGGACGGTTACCTGGGTTGAGAACTCGCCCAGAGACATCTTTCTCAAAGTTGGGGGGGGCAGGAACGGATGCCAGCGTGTCCGATTCCCCATCACCACCACCCGCTCAGCCTTGACAATAATAAAACACAACCTCCATGATGCTCACGCGTGGCTACAGAGCACGGCTCATTGCCATTGATAATAAAGAATGCTGCTGCTGTGGGTAGCGAGAGACATTGACACTCCCTGATGGACGCTGTTGGTCGTCCCTGGCCTCTCCTGTCCAGGACTGGGTTGTAACAGCGGTAGGGGGTTGGCGTTTCTCCCATTCCGCCCATCGTCACCATCACCCGCTCAGCCTTGACAACGATAAACACGACCTCCGTGTTCACACTCGTGGCTACCTAGCAGCACTGCTCATGACCATTGCATAGTAATAATGTTGCTGCTGTGGGTAGCAAGAGACATTGGACACTCCCTGGTGGCGTTGAGTAGCACCGAGGCTGTGTGGAGTTCCAGTAAGGAATTGCGTGGAGTTGAACAGAGACGTCTGCGCTAGGCACAACTGCTGGGGTCCTGTAACACAGAACGTTAGCAGCCCCTCCCCGATACAAACAAATCCTGTAGTAGTAGCAGCAGCGAGGCAAATTCAAAAGCACGGCCAAAGGAGTTGCGGTGTTACCAGGAGGTCCGCTAACTGCCCGTATCCACCGCCGATTCGACCGTTTGCACTTCCTTCCTCTGCACTTGAGCCGAGACATCAAAGACGCAGACCTGGCTCCCTGTCCCGTCACTGCCTGGGATCTCTGCCCCGTTGGGGCTTCCTTGGTTTGGAGCTGTACCGAGATGTTGAGATGATGTTCAAAGATAAAAGGAGAGTAGACCCGGGGAGGATTCTGGAAGACAGAACGTTAGAGTACCCCCCCCACTCCCCCCTGATACAAACACAAGGCCTGTAGTAGTAGCAGCAGCAAGGCAAATGTGAATGTCAAAGTATTTACGGTGTTACCGGGTCCCGTTAACTGCCTGGAATGCCCGATGATAGAGGAGCAATTTGTGCTTCCTTCCCTCTTGCTGTCCCCTTGTACGATGTCGCGAGGTTGCTTGGGAGGTGCACAGAGAACGTGGAGTTGCACTGAAGTTGCGAGGAGTTGGAGCAAGGTTGCGTGAAGGTGTTCTGAGGTTACGTAAAGTTGCACGGAGGTTGTGTAGAGGAGTTGCAGCGAGGTTGTGTGGAGGAGTTGCAACTGAGGAAGTTGAGTTGAGTTGAACAGAGACGTCTGCGCTAGGCACAACTGCTGGGGTCCTGTAACATAGAACGTTAGGAGCCCCTCCCACCACCCCAGAGCCACAATGGCCAACACTGCACACCGCTTGCTAGCAATGTCACCATCAACGCCCTTTCCTGGCTTAGGGAAATATTCAGGATAGCCGTAAGAAAACATTGATTTCAATCTTCAGGTCACATTACGTAAACTTCATGCTGTGGTTATTTGTAAATGAAGGTTTCAAGTTTTGCCTCCATTAAAACTTTCAACGTCCTCCTGACGATTCCCTGCGTTTCCAATTACGAAAACTAATCGCTCGATTGATGAGCAAGGCCGAGGATCGGGCCGGAGACTCGCACGGTTACCTGGGTTGAGAACTTGCCCAGACATCTTTCTCAAAGTTGGGGGTGGCAGGAACGGATGCCAGCATGTCCGATTCCCCACCACCACCCGCTCAGCCTTGACAATGATAAACACAACCTCCGTGTTCACACTCGTGGCTACCTAGCAGCACTGCACATGACCACTGCATAGTAATAATGTTGCTGCTGTGGATAGCAAGAGACATTGACACTCCCTGATAGACGGTGTTGACGTTGCATCAAGGTTGCGTTGAGTAGCACCGAGGCTGTGTGGAGTTCCAGTAAGGAATTGCGTGGAGTTGAACAGAGACGTCTGCGCTAGGTACAACTGCTGGGGTCCTGTAACAGAACGTTAGGAGCCCCTCCCCCCACCCACCACCCCAAAGGCCAACACTGCACACCACTTGCTAGCAATGTCACCATCAATGCCCTTTCCTGGCTTACTCAACTCTTTCGGGACAGCCGTAGGAAAACATTAATTTCAATCATCAGGTCACATGACGTAAACTTCATGCCGTGCTTATTCGCTAATTAGGTTTCAAGTTGTGCCTTGATTAAAACTTTCACAAAGTCCTGCTGACAACATTTCCCTGCGTGGCCAATTAAGAACACCAAAACGTCAACAAACCTCAAATAGACATCCACATCGCTCGTTTGGTGAGCAAGGCCGAGGATCGGGCTGGAGACTCGCACGGTTACATGGGTTGAGAACTCGCCCAGGGACATCTTTCTCAAAGTTGGGGGTGGCAGGAACGGATGCCAGCGTGTCAGATTCCCCATCACCACCACCACCACCACCCGCTCAGCCTTGACAATGATAAACACAACCTCCGTGTACACTCGTGGCTACCTAGCAGCACTGCTCATGACCATTGCATAGTAATAATGTTGCTGCTGTGGGTAGCAAGAGACATTGACACTCCCTGATGGACGGTGTTGACGTTGCATCAAAGTTGCGTTGAGTAGCAACGAGGCTGTGTGGAGTTCCAGTAAGGAATTGCGTGGAGTTGAACAGAGACGTCTGCGCTAGGCACAACTGCTGGGGTCCTGTAACACAGAACGTTAGGAGCCCCTCCCCCCTCCCCGATACAAACAAATCCTGTAGTAGTAGCAGCAGCGAGGCAAATTCAAACGCACGGACAAAGGAGTTGCGTTGTTACCAGGTCCGCTAACTGCCCGTATCCACCGCCGATTCGACCGTTTGCACTTCCATCCTCTGCACTTGAACCATGACATCGAGACGCAGACCTGGCTCCCTGTCCTGTCACTGCCTGGGATCTCTGCCCCGTTGGGGCTTCCTTGGTTTGGAGCTGTACCGAGATGTTTCAGAGTAGACCAGGGAGAGGATTCTGGAAGACAGAACGTTAGAGACCCCCCCACTCCCCCCTGATACAAACACAAGGCCTGTAGTAGTATCAGCAAGGCAAATGTGAATGTCAAAGTATTTACGGTGTTACCGGGTCCCGTTAACTGCCTGGAATGGCCGATGTTAGAGGAGCAATTTGCGCTTCCTTCCCTCTTGCTGTCCCCTTGTACGATGTCGCGAGGTTGCTTGGGAGGTGCAACCGAGAACGTGGAGTTGCACTGAAGTTGTGAGGAGTTGGAGCAAGGTTGCGTGAAGGTGTTCTTAAGTTACGTAGAGTTTCCCTGAGGCCGTGTGGAGTTGCAACTGAGGGAGTTGCGTAGAGTTGAACAGAGACGTCTGCGCTAGGCACAACTGATGGGGTCCTGTAACATAGAACGTTAGGAGCCCCTCCCCCCACCCACCACCCCAGAGCCACAATGGCCAACACTGCACACCGCTCGCTAGCAATGTCACCATCAACGCCCTTTCCTGGCTTAGGGAAATATTCAGGATAACCGTAAGAAAACATTGATTTCAATCTTCAGGTCACATTACGGAAACTTCATGCTGTGGTCATTTGCAAATAAAGGTTTCAAGTTTTGCCTCGATTAAAACTTTCACAAAGTCCTGACGACAACATTTCCGCGTTTCCAATTACGAACACTAATTGCTGGTTTGGTGAGTAAGGCCGAGGATCGGGCCGGAGACTCGGACGGTTACCTGGGTTGAGAACTCGCCCAGAGACATCTTTCTCAAAGTTGGGGGGGGCAGGAACGGATGCCAGCGTGTCCGATTCCCCATCACCACCACCCGCTCAGCCTTGACAATAATAAAACACAACCTCCATGATGCTCACGCGTGGCTACAGAGCACGGCTCATTGCCATTGATAATAAAGAATGCTGCTGCTGTGGGTAGCGAGAGACATTGACACTCCCTGATGGACGCTGTTGGTCGTCCCTGGCCTCTCCTGTCCAGGACTGGGTTGTAACAGCGGTAGGGGGTTGGCGTTTCTCCCATTCCGCCCATCGTCACCATCACCCGCTCAGCCTTGACAACGATAAACACGACCTCCGTGTTCACACTCGTGGCTACCTAGCAGCACTGCTCATGACCATTGCATAGTAATAATGTTGCTGCTGTGGGTAGCAAGAGACATTGGACACTCCCTGGTGGCGTTGAGTAGCACCGAGGCTGTGTGGAGTTCCAGTAAGGAATTGCGTGGAGTTGAACAGAGACGTCTGCGCTAGGCACAACTGCTGGGGTCCTGTAACACAGAACGTTAGCAGCCCCTCCCCGATACAAACAAATCCTGTAGTAGTAGCAGCAGCGAGGCAAATTCAAAAGCACGGCCAAAGGAGTTGCGGTGTTACCAGGAGGTCCGCTAACTGCCCGTATCCACCGCCGATTCGACCGTTTGCACTTCCTTCCTCTGCACTTGAGCCGAGACATCAAAGACGCAGACCTGGCTCCCTGTCCCGTCACTGCCTGGGATCTCTGCCCCGTTGGGGCTTCCTTGGTTTGGAGCTGTACCGAGATGTTGAGATGATGTTCAAAGATAAAAGGAGAGTAGACCCGGGGAGGATTCTGGAAGACAGAACGTTAGAGTACCCCCCCCCACTCCCCCCTGATACAAACACAAGGCCTGTAGTAGTAGCAGCAGCAAGGCAAATGTGAATGTCAAAGTATTTACGGTGTTACCGGGTCCCGTTAACTGCCTGGAATGCCCGATGATAGAGGAGCAATTTGTGCTTCCTTCCCTCTTGCTGTCCCCTTGTACGATGTCGCGAGGTTGCTTGGGAGGTGCACAGAGAACGTGGAGTTGCACTGAAGTTGCGAGGAGTTGGAGCAAGGTTGCGTGAAGGTGTTCTGAGGTTACGTAAAGTTGCACGGAGGTTGTGTAGAGGAGTTGCAGCGAGGTTGTGTGGAGGAGTTGCAACTGAGGAAGTTGAGTTGAGTTGAACAGAGACGTCTGCGCTAGGCACAACTGCTGGGGTCCTGTAACATAGAACGTTAGGAGCCCCTCCCACCACCCCAGAGCCACAATGGCCAACACTGCACACCGCTCGCTAGCAATGTCACCATCAACGCCCTTTCCTGGCTTAGGGAAATATTCAGGATAGCCGTAAGAAAACATTGATTTCAATCTTCAGGTCACATTACGTAAACTTCATGCTGTGGTTATTTGTAAATGAAGGTTTCAAGTTTTGCCTCCATTAAAACTTTCAACGTCCTCCTGACGATTCCCTGCGTTTCCAATTACGAAAACTAATCGCTCGATTGATGAGCAAGGCCGAGGATCGGGCCGGAGACTCGCACGGTTACCTGGGTTGAGAACTTGCCCAGACATCTTTCTCAAAGTTGGGGGTGGCAGGAACGGATGCCAGCATGTCCGATTCCCCACCACCACCCGCTCAGCCTTGACAATGATAAACACAACCTCCGTGTTCACACTCGTGGCTACCTAGCAGCACTGCTCATGACCATTTCATAGTAATAATGTTGCTGCTGTGGGTAGCAAGAGACATTGACACTCCCTGACGGTGTTGGTTTTCTCAAGCCTCCCCTGTCCAGGACTTGGGTTGTAACAGCGGTAGGGGGCTGCGACCACGTGAGAGACTTGCTTGGAGGAGCTCTGGCGGGAATGTTCTGAGTCAAGAGACGCTGGATGGGAATTCTAGAAGACAGCGAATTAGAGACCCCCCCCCAACCCTCCCCCAAGTCCCAGTCCCAAACTTGAAAGCAACGGATGGCACTGGAGCTGCGAGGGGTTGGAGCAAGGTTGAATGAAATTGTTCCGAGGTTACGTGGAGTTGCACCGAGGTTACGTGGAGTTGCACCGAGGTTGTGTGGAGGAGTTGCAGCGAGGGTGTGTGGAGTTGTAACTGAGGCCGTGTGGAGTTGCACTGAAGTTGTGAGGAGTTGGAGCAAGGTTGCGTGAAGGTGTTCTGAGGTTGCGTAAAGTTGCACTGAGGTAACGTGGAGTTGCACCGAGGTTGTGTGGAAGAGTTGCACTGAGGCCGTGTGAGTTGCAACTGAGGAAGTTGCGTAGAGTTGAACAGAGACGTCTGCGCTAGGCACAACTGCTGGGGTCCTCTAACATAGAACGTTAGGAGCCCCCCCCCCTCCCCGATACAAATAAATCCTGTAGTAGTAGCAGCAGCGAGGCAAATTCAAACGCACGGCCAAAGGAGTTGCGGTGTTACCAGGAGGTCCGCTAACTGCCCGTATCCACCGCCGATTCCACCGTTTGCACTTCCTTCCTCTGCACTTGAACCGAAACATCAAAGACGCAGACCTGGCTCCCTGTCCCGTCACTGTCTGGGATCTCTGCCCCGTTGGGGCTTCCTTGGTTTGGAGCTGTACCGAGATGTTTGATGTTTGAGCGAGAGTAGACCAGGGAGAGGATTCTGGAAGACAGAACGTTAGAGACCCCCCCCCCACTCCCCCTGATACAAACACAAGGCCTGTAGTAGTAGTAGCAGTAGCAAGGCAAATGTGAATGTCAAAGTATTTACGGTGTTACCGGGTCCCGTTAACTGCCTGGAATGGCCGATGATAGAGGAGCAATTTGCGCTTCCTTCCCTCTTGCTGTCCCCTTGTACGATGTCGCGAGGTTGCTTGGGAGTTGCACAGAGAACGCGTGGAGTTGCACTGAGGCCGTGTGGAGTTGCAACTGAGGAAGTTGCGTGGAGTTGACCAGAGACGTCTGCGCTAGGCACAACTGCTGGGGTCCTGTAACATAGAACGTTAGGAGCCCCTCCCCCCACCCACCAGAGCCACAATGGCCAACACTGCACACCGCTCGCTAGCAATGTCACCATCAACGCCCTTTCCTGGCTTAGGGAAATATTCAGAAAAGCCGTAAGAAAACATTGATTTCAATCTTCAGGTCACATTACGTAAACTTCACGCTGTGGTCATTTGCAAATAAAGGTTTCAAGTTTTGCCTCCATTAAAACTTTCACAAAGTCCTACCGACAACTTTTCCCCGCGTGGCCAATTTCGAAAACCAAAACGTCAACAAACCTCAAATAGACATCCACATCGCTCGTTTGGTGAGCAAGGCCGAGGATCGGGCCGGAGACTCGCACGGTTACCTGGGTTGAGAACTCGCCCAGACATCTTTCTCAAAGTTGGGGGTGGCAGGAACGGATGCCAGCGTGTCCGATTCCCCATCACCACCACCACCCGCTCAGCCTTGACAATAATAAAACACAACCTCCATGATGCTCACGCGTGGCTACAGAGCACGGCTCATTGCCATTGATAATAAAGAATGCTGCTGCTGTGGGTAGCGAGAGACATTGACACTCCCTGATGGACGCTGTTGGTCGTCCCTGGCCTCTCCTGTCCAGGACTGGGTTGTAACAGCGGTAGGGGGTTGCGTTTCTCCCATTCCGCCCATCGTCACCATCACCCGCTCAGCCTTGACAACGATAAACACGACCTCCGTGTTCACACTCGTGGCTACCTAGCAGCACTGCTCATGACCATTGCATAGTAATAATGTTGCTGCTGTGGGTAGCAAGAGACATTGGACACTCCCTGGTGGCGTTGAGTAGCACCGAGGCTGTGTGGAGTTCCAGTAAGGAATTGCGTAGAGTTGAACAGAGACGTTTGCGCTAGGCACAACTGCTGGGGTCCTGTAACACAGAACGTTAGCAGCCCCTCCCCCCTCCCCGATACAAACAAATCCTGTAGTAGTAGCAGCAGCGAGGCAAATTCAAACGCACGGCCAAAGGAGTTGCGGTGTTACCAGGAGGTCCGCTAACTGCCCGTATCCATCGCCGATTCGACCGTTTGCACTTCCTTCCTCTGCACTTGAACCGAGACATCGAGACGCAGACCTGGCTCCCTGTCCCGCCACTGCCTGGGATCTCTGCCCCGTTGGGGCTTCCTTGGTTTGGAGCTGTACCGAGATGTTGAGATGATGTTCAAAGATAAAAGGAGAGTAGACCCGGGGAGGATTCTGGAAGACAGAACGTTAGAGTACCCCCCCCCCCACTCCCCCCTGATACAAACACAAGGCCTGTAGTAGTAGCAGCAGCAAGGCAAATGTGAATGTCAAAGTATTTACGGTGTTACCGGGTCCCGTTAACTGCCTGGAACGGCCGATGCTAGAGGAGCAATTTGCGCTTCCTTCCCTCTTGCTGTCCCCTTGTACGATGTCGCGAGGTTGCTTGGGAGGTGCACAGAGAACGTGGAGTTGCACTGAAGTTGCGAGGAGTTGGAGCAAGGTTGCGTGAAGGTGTTCTGAGGTTACGTAAAGTTGCACGGAGGTTGTGTAGAGGAGTTGCAGCGAGGTTGTGTGGAGGAGTTGCAACTGAGGAAGTTGAGTTGAGTTGAACAGAGACGTCTGCGCTAGGCACAACTGCTGGGGTCCTGTAACACAGAACGTTAGGAGCCCCTCCCCCCACCCACCACCCCAGAGCCACAATGGCCAACACTGCACACCGCTCGCTAGCAATGTCACCATCAACGCCCTTTCCTGGCTTAGGGAAATATTCAGGATAGCCGTAAGAAAACATTGATTTCAATCTTCAGGTCACATTACGTAAACTTCTTGGTGTGGTTATTTGTAAATGAAGGTTTCAAGTTTTGCCTCCATTAAAACTTTCAACGTCCTCCTGACAACGATTCCCTGCGTTTCCAATTACGAAAACTAATCGCTCGATTGATGAGCAAGGCCGAGGATCGGGCCGGAGACTCGCACGGTTACCTGGGTTGAGAACTTGCCCAGACATCTTTCTCAAAGTTGGGGGTGGCAGGAACGGATGCCAGCGTGTCCGATTCCCCACCACCACCCGCTCAGCCTTGACAATGATAAACACAACCTCCGTGTTCACACTCGTGGCTACCTAGCAGCACTGCTCATGACCATTTCATAGTAATAATGTTGCTGCTGTGGGTAGCAAGAGACATTGACACTCCCTGACGGTGTTGGTTTTCTCAAGCCTCCCCTGTCCAGGACTTGGGTTGTAACAGCGGTAGGGGGCTGTGACCACGTGAGAGACATGCTTGGAGGAGCTCTGGCGGGAATGTTCTGAGTCAAGAGACGCTGGATGGGAATTCTAGAAGACAGCAAATTAGAGACCCCCCCCCACCCTCCCCCAAGTCCCAGTCCCAAACTTGAAAGCAACGGATGGCACTGGAGCTGCGAGGGGTTGGAGCAAGGTTGAATGAAATTGTTCCGAGGTTACGTGGAGTTGCACCGAGGTTACGTGGAGTTGCACCGAGGTTGTGTGGAGGAGTTGCAGCGAGGGTGTGTGGAGTTGTAACTGAGGCCGTGTGGAGTTGCACTGAAGTTGTGAGGAGTTGGAGCAAGGTTGCGTGAAGGTGTTCTGAGGTTGCGTAAAGTTGCACCGAGGTAACGTCGAGTTGCACCGAGGTTGTGTGGAAGAGTTGCACTGAGGCCGTGTGAGTTGCAACTGAGGAAGTTGCGTAGAGTTGAACAGAGACGTCTGCGCTAGGCACAACTGCTGGGGTCCTGTAACACAGAACGTTAGGAGCCCCTCCCCCCTCCCCGATACAAACAAATCCTGTAGTAGTAGCAGCAGCGAGGCAAATTCAAACGCACGGCCAAAGGAGTTGCGGTGTTACCAGGAGGTCCGCTAACTGCCCGTATCCACCGCCGATTCCACCGTTTGCACTTCCTTCCTCTGCACTTGAACCGAGACATCAAAGACGTAGACCTGGCTCCCTGTCCTGTCACTGCCTGGGATCTCTGCCCCGTTGGGGCTTCCTTGGTTTGGAGCTGTATCGAGATGTTGAGATGATGTTCAAAGCGAGTAGGAGAGTAGACCAAGGGAGGATTCTGGAAGACAGAACGTTAGAGTACCCCCCCCCCCACCCCCCGCCTACTTGCGATACAAACACAACTCTGGTAGTATCTAGGCCCATTAAAACAGACGCCAAAGTATTTGTGGTGTCGCCAGGTACCGGTACAACCGCCTGGAATCGCCGACGGACGAAGACCTTGGGCCTCCTCCTCCTGCGCGAGTAGACGGGTGGAGGAGTCTGCAGGTTGCAGCGTTAAAGGAACCCCCCCCTCCCCCAACTGCCACAGTCAACAAACTTGAAAGCAACGGATGGCCCAGGAGCTGCGGTTTTACCAGGAGGTCCGTTAACTGCCTGGGTTTTCCCGACGACGCCCCAGACATCCGCACTTCCTTCACGGGACGCACGAGAGGGTTTGTGCGGAGCTCGAAGCGAGAGAGACGTCTGTGTAAATCAGACTTGAGCTCTTGCCACTGCCTGGATTCACCGATGATCTCTCTTCCTTCTCTTTGCTGGCATCGCAAGGACGCAGGAGACGCGAGGGATTCTGGAAGACACGGTGTTAAGACGACCCCCCCCCTCCCCAACTCCGATAGGAACGCAAAGCCTGAAGTAGTCGTTGATAATGCGAAAGGCAACGGCGTTTTAACTTTACCAGGTGTCCCGTTAACGGCCTGGATTCTCCCGATGACGCCCCAGACATCTGCACGCCCTCCACTCCGCGTGTACAACACGAAGCCGCCTGGAGTTGAACCGAGACATCAAAGACGCAGACCTGGCTCCCTGTCCCGTCACTGCCTGGGATCTCTGCCCCGTTGGGGCTTCCTTGGTTTGGAGCTGTACCGAGATGTTTGATGTTTGAGCGAGAGTAGACCAGGGAGAGGATTCTGGAAGACAGAACGTTAGAGACCCCCCCCACTCCCCCCGATGCAAACACAAGGCCTGTAGCAGTAGTAGCAGCAAGGCAAATGTGAATGTCAAAGTATTTACGGTGTTACCGGGTCCCGTTAACTGCCTGGAATGGCCGATGATAGAGGAGCAATTTGCGCTTCCTTCCCTCTTGCTGTCCCCTTGTACGATGTCGCGAGGTTGCTTGGGAGTTGCACAGAGAACGTGTGGAGTTGCAATGAAGTTGCGAGGAGTTGGAGCAAGGTTGCGTGAAGGTGTTCTGGGGTTACGTAAAGTTGCAGCGAGGTAACGTGGAGTTGCACTGAGGAAGTTGAGTTGAGTTGAACAGAGACGTCTGCGCTAGGCACAACAGCTGGGGTCCTGTAACACAGAACGTTAGGAGCCCCTCCCCCCACCCACCACCCCAGAGCCACAATGGCCAACACTGCACACCGCTCGCTAGCAATGTCACCATCAACGCCCTTTCCTGGCTTAGGGAAATATTCAGGATAGCCGTAAGAAAACATTGATTTCAATCTTCAGGTCACATTACTTAAACTTAACGTTGTGGTTCTTACTAATGAGGTTTCAAGTTTTGCCTCGTTTAAAACTTTCACAAAGTCCTACCGACAACTTTTCCCCGCGTGGCCAATTACGAAAACCAAAACGTCAAACTTCAAATAGCCATCCACATCGCTCGTTTGGTGAGCAAGACCGAGGATCGGGCCGGAGACTCGCACGGTTACCTGGGTTGAGAACTCGCCCAGACATCTTTCTCAAAGTTGGGGGTGGCAGGAACGGATGCCAGCGTGTCCGATTCCCCATCACCACCACCACCCGCTCAGCCTTGACAATAATAAAACACAACCTCCGTGATGCTCACGCGTGGCTACAGAGCACGGCTCATTGCCCATTGATAATAAAGAATGCTGCTGCTGTGGGTAGCGAGAGACATTGACACTCCCTGATGGACGCTGTTGGTCGTCTCTGGCCTCTCCTGTCCAGGACTGGGTTGTAACAGCGGTAGGGGGTTGCGTTTCTCCCATTCGGCCCATCGGCACCATCACCAGCTCAGCCTTGACAATGATAAACACGACCTCCGTATGTCCACGTGTGGGCTACACAGCCAAGGCTCACTGACATTGATAAATAATGTTGCCGTGTGGGAAGTACAAGAGTCATTGACACTCCCTGGTGGATGGTGTTGACGTTGCATCAAGGTTGCGTTGAGTAGCACCGAGGCCGTGTGGAGTTCCAGTAAGGAATTGCAGAGACGTCTGGGCTAGGCACAACTGCTGGGGTCCTGTAACACAGAACGTTAGGAGCCCCTCCCCCCTCCCCGATACAAACAAATCCTGTAGTAGTAGCAGCAGCGAGGCAAATTCAAACGCACGGCCAAAGGAGTTGCGGTGTTACCAGGAGGTCCGCTAACTGCCCGTATCCACCGCCGATTCGACCGTTTGCACTTCCTTCCTCTGCACTTGAACCGAGACATCGAGACGCAGACTTGGCTCCCTGTCCTGTCACTGCCTGGGATCTCTGCCCCGCTGGGGCTTCCTTGGTTTGGAGCTGTACCGAGATGTTGATGATTGATTGAGAGTAGACCAGGGAGAGGATTCTGGAAGACAGAACGTTAGAGACCCCCCCACTCCCCCTGATACAAACACAAGGCCTGTAGTAGCAGCAGTAGCAGCAAGGCAAATGTGAATGTCAAAGTATTTATGGTGTTACCGGGTCCCGTTAACTGCCTGGAATGGCCGATGATAGAGGAGCAATTTGCGCTTCCTTCCCTCTTGCTGTCCCCTTGTACGATGTCGCGAGGTTGCTTGGGAGGTGCACAGAGAACGCGTGGAGTTGCACTGAAGTTGCGAGGAGTTGGAGCAAGGTTGAATTAAATTGTTTTGAAGTTAAGTAAAGTTGCACCGAGGTAACATGGAGTTGCACCGAGGTTGTGTGGAGGAGTTGCACTGAGGAGTGTGGAGTTGCACCGAGGCAGTGTGCCGTTGCACCGAGGAAGTTGCGTGGAGTTGAACAGAGACGTCTGCGCTAGGCACAACTGCTGGGGTCCTGTAACACAGAACGTTAGGAGCCCCTCCCCCCACCCACCACCCCAAAGGCCAACACTGCACACCGCTTGCTAGCAAAGTCACCATCAACGCCCTTTCCTGGTTACGCAACTATTCAGGACAGCCATAAGAAAACATTAATTTCAATCTTCAGGTCACATTACTTAAACTTAACGTTGTGGTTTCAGATTATGCCACGTTTAAAACTTTAACAGTCTTGCCGACAACTTTTCCCCGCGTGGCCAATTACATAAAACAAAACGTCAACGAACCTCAAATAGACATCCACATCGCTCGTTTGGTGAGCAAGGCCGAGGATCGGGCCGGAGACTCGCACGGTTACCTGGGTTGAGAACTCGCCCAGAGACATCTTTCTCAAAGTTGGGGGTGGCAGGAACGGATGCCAGCGTGTCCGATTTCCCATCACCACCACCCGCTCAGCCTTGACAATAATAAAACACAACCTCCATGATGCTCACGCGTGGCTACAGAGCACGGCTCATTGCAATTGATAATAAAGAATGCTGCTGCTGTGGGTAGCGAGAGACATTGACACTCCCTGATGGACGCTGTTGGTCGTATCTGGCCTCTCCTGTCCAGGACTGGGTAGTAACAGCGGTAGGGGGTTGCGTTTCTCCCATTCCGCCCATCGCCACCACCACCTGCTGAGCCTTGACACTGATAAACACGACCTCCGTGTTCACACTCGTGGCTACCTAGCAGCACTGCTCATGACTATTGCATAGTAATGTTGCTGTTGTGGGTAACAAGAGACATTGACACTCCCTGATGGACGGTGTTGACGTTGCATCAAGGCTGCGTTGAGTAGCACCGAGGCCGTGTGGAGTTCCAGTAAGGAATTGCGTGGAGTTGAACAGAGACGTCTGCGCTAGGCACAACTGCTGGGGTCCTGTAACACAGAACGTTAGGAGCCCCTCCCCCCTCCCCGATACAAACAAATCCTGTAGTAGTAGCAGCAGCGAGGCAAATTCAAAGGAGTTGCGGTGTTACCAGGAGGTCCGCTAACTGCCCGTATCCACCGCCGATTCGACCGTTTGCACTTCCTTCCTCTGCACTTGAACCGAGACATCAAAGACGCAGACCTGGCTCCCTGTCCCGTCACTGCCTGGGATCTCTGCCCCGTTGGGGCTTCCTTGGTTTGGAGCTGTATCGAGATGTTGAGATGATGTTCAAAGCGAGTAGGAGAGTAGACCCGGGGAGGATTCTGGAAGACAGAACGTTAGAGTACCCCACCCCCCAGCCTACACAAACACAACTACGGTAGGAGCTAGGCCAATTAAAACAGACGCCAAAATATTTGTGGTGTCACCAGGTACCGGTACAACCGCCTGGAATCGCCGGACGGACAAAGACCTTGGGCCTCCTCCGCGAGTAGACGGGTGGAGGAGTCTGCAGGTTGCAGCGTTAAAGGAACCCCCCCCTCCCCCAACTGCCACAGTCAACAAACTTGAAAGCAACGGATGGCCCAGGAGCTGCGGTTTTACCAGGAGGTCCGTTAACTGCCTGGGTTTTCCCGACGACGCCCCAGACATCCGCACTTCCTTCACGGGACGCACGAGAGGGTTTGCGTGGAGCTCGAAGCGAGAGAGACGTCTGTGTAAATCAGACTTGAGCTCTTGCCACTGCCTGGATTCACAGATGATCTCACATCCCCCTCTTTGCTGGCATCGCGAGGACGCAGGAGACGCGAGGGATTCTGGAAGACACGGTGTTAAGACGACCCCCCCCCCTCCCCAACTCCGATAGGAACGCAAAGCCTTAAGTAGTCGTTGATAATGCGAATGGCAACGGCGTTTTAACTTTACCAGGTGTCCCGTTAACGGCCTGGATTCTCCCGACGATGCCCCAGACATCTGCACGCCCTCCACTCCGCTTGCAACAACATGAAGCCGCGTGGAGTTGAACCGAGACATCAAAGACGCAGACCTGGCTCCCTGTCCCGTCACTGCCTGGGATCTCTGCCCCGTTGGGGCTTCCTTGGTTTGGAGCTGTACCGAGATGTTTGATGTTTGAGCGAGAGTAGACCAGGGAGAGGATTCTGGAAGACAGAACGTTAGAGACCCCCCCCCCACTCCCCCCTGATACAAACACAATTCCTGTAGCAGTAGTAGCAAGGCAAATGTGAATGTCAAAGTATTTACGGTGTTACCGGGTCCCGTTAACTGCCTGGAATGGCCGATGATAGAGGAGCAATTTGCGCTTCCTTCCCTCTTGCTGTCCCCTTGTACGATGTCGCGAGGTTGCTTGGGAGTTGCACAGAGAACGTGTGGAGTTGCACTGAAGTTGCGAGGAGTTGGAGCAAGGTTGCGTGAAGGTGTTCTGAGGTTACGTAGAGTTGCACCGAGGTTGTGTGGAGGAGTTGCACTGAGGCCGTGTGGAGTTGCACTGAGGAAGTTGCGTGGAGTTGAACAAAGACGTCTGCGCTAGGCACAACTGCTGGGGTCCTGTAACATAGAACGTTAGGAGCCCCTCCCCCCACCCACCACCCCAGAGCCACAATGGCCAACACTGCACACCGCTCGCTAGCAATGTCACCATCAACGCCCTTTCCAGGCTTAGGGAAATATTCAGGATAGTCGTAAGAAAACATTGATTTAAATCTTCAGATTACGTGACGTAAACTTCATGCTGTAGTCATTTGCAAATAAAGGTTTCAAGTTTTGGATCTTTTAAAACTTTCACAAAGTCCTCCTGACAACATTTCCCCACGTTTCCAATTACGAAAACTAATCGCTCGATTGATGAGCAAGGCCGAGGATCGGTCCGGAGACTCGCACGGTTACCTGGGTTGAGAACTCGCCCAGAGACATCATTCCCAAAGTTGGGGTTGCAGGAACGGATGCCAGCGTGTCCGATTCCTCATCACAACCACCACCACCCGCTCAGCCATGACAATAATAAAACACAACCTCCGTGATGCTCACGCGTGGCTACAGAGCACGGCTCATTGCCATTGATAATAAAGAATGCTGCTCCTGTGGGTAGCGAGAGACATTGACACTCCCTGATCGACGCTGATGGTCGTCTCTGGCCTCTCCTGTCCAGGACTGGGTTGTAACAGCGGTAGGGGGTTGCGTTTCTCCCATTCCGCCCATCGTCACCATCACCCGCTCAGCCTTGACAATGATAAATACAACCTCCGTGTTCACACTCGTGGCTACCAAGCAGCACTGCTCATGACCATTGCATAATAATAATAATAATGTTGCTGTGGGTAGCAAGAGACAATGACACTCCCTGATGGACGGTGTTGACGTTGCATCAAGGTTGCGTTGAGTGGCACCGAGGCTGTGTGGAGTTCCAGTAAGGAATTGCGTGGAGGTTAACAGAGACGTCTGCGCTAGGCACAACTGCTGGGGTCCTGTAACACAGAACGTTAGGAGCCCCTCCCCCCTCCCCGATACAAACAAATCCTGTAGTAGTAGCAGGAGCGAGGCAAATTCAAAGGAGTTGCGGTGTTACCAGGAGGTCCGCTAACTGCCCGTATCCACCGCCGATTCCACCGTTTGCACTTCCTTCCTCTGCACTTGAACCGAGACATCAAAGACGCAGACCTGGCTCCCTGTCCTGTCACTGCCTGGGATCTCTGCCCCGCTGGGGCTTCCTTGGTTTGGAGCTGTACCGAGATGTTGAGATGATGTTCAAAGCGAGTAGGAGAGTAGACCCGGGGAGGATTCTGGAAGACAGAACGTTAGAGTACCCCCCCCCCCGCCTACTGCCGATACAAACACAACTCTGGTAGTAGCTAGGCCAGGCATGGGCAAAGTACGGCCCGTTGGGCTTTTAAATCCGGTCCGTCGAACTTGTCCAAATATGATTATTAAATTAAATTTTACCTTTCTCCTGTAATGCCGCCATTTCCCCATTACATGGCGTTGTTTTCATGATGTTTGATCAGTCACGTTACGACATGTTTGTGTTGTTCATGTTCGTGCAATTTGTTAAATTCCTTTGCAAATTAATGCTTTGCTAACCTGTTAAAAGGCCAAATCCTTTCATGTAATGATTTTTACACGTCATTTATATTAGGTAACACAAACACTCGATCCATCTGTTCCTGGCCCTGTCCCTCGGTCAAATTCTAGAACCCATTGTGACCCGTGAGTTAAAAAACTTGCCCACCCCTGAGCTAGGCCAATTAAAACAGACGCCAAAGTATTTGTGGTGTCGCCAGGTACCGGTACAACCGCCTGGAATCGCCGACGGACGCAGACCTTGGGCCTCCTCCTCCTCCGCGAGTAGACTGGTGGAGGAGTCTGCAGGTTGCAGCGTTAAAGGAACCCCCCCCTCCCCCAACTGCCACAGTCAACAAACTTGAAAGCAACGGATGGCCCAGGAGCTGCGGTTTTACCAGGAGGTCCGTTAACTGCCTGGGTTTTCCCGACGACGCCCCAGACATCCGCACTTCCTTCACGGGACGCACGAGAGGGTTTGTGTGGAGCTCGAAGCGATAGAGACGTCTGTGTAAATCAGACTTGAGTTCTTGCCACTGCCTGGATTCACCGATGATCTCTCTTCCCCCTTTTTGCTGGCGTCGTGAGGACGCAGGAGACGCGAGGGATTCTGGAAGACACGGTGTTAAGACCCCCCCCACCAACTCCGAAACGAACGCAAAGCCTGAAGTAGTCGTTGATAATGCGAATGGCAACGGCGTTTTAACTTTACCAGGTGTCCCGTTAACAGTCTGGATTCTCCCGACGACGCCCCAGACATCTGCACGCCCTCCACTCCGCTTGCAACAACACGAAGCCGCGTGGAGTTGAACCGAGACATCAAAGACGCAGACCTGGCTCCCTGTCCCGTCACTGCCTGGGATCTCTGCCCCGTTGGGGCTTCCTTGGTTTGGAGCTGTACCGAGATGTTTGATGTTTGAGCGAGAGTAGACCAGGGAGAGGATTCTGGAAGACAGAACGTTAGAGACCCCCCCCCACTCCCCCTGATACAAACACAAGGCCTGTAGTAGTATTAGCAGTAAGGTAAATGTGAATGTCAAAGCATTTACGGTGTTACCGGGTCCCATTAACTGCCTGGAATGGCCGATGATAGAGGAGCAATTTGCGCTTCCTTCCCTCTTGCTGTCCCTTTGTACGATGTCGCGAGGTTGCTTGGGAGTTGCAGAGAACGCGTGGAGTTGCACTGAAGTTGCGAGGAGTTGGAGCAAGGTTGAGTGAAATTGTTCTGAGGTTACGCAGAGTTTGACCGAGTTTGTGTGGAGTTGCAGCGAGGTTGTGTGGAGTTGCGGAGACCGTGTGGCGTTGCACCGAGGAAGTTGCAGAGTTGAACAGAGACGTCTGCGCTAGGCACAACTGCTGGGGTCCTGTAACAGAACGTTAGGAGCCCCTCCCCCCACCCACCACCCCATAGGCCAACACTGCACACCGCTTGATAGCAATGTCACCATCAACGCCCTTTCCTGGTTACGCAACTATTCAGGACAGCCATAAGAAAACATTAATTCCAATCTTCAGGTCACATTACATAAACTTAACGTTGTGGTTCTTTACTAATGAGGTTTCAGATCATGCCACGTTTAAAACTTAAACAGTTTTGCCGACAACTTTTCCCCGCGTGGCCAATTACATAAACCAAAACGTCAACGAACCTCAAATAGACATCCACATCGCTCGTTTTGTGAGCAAGGCCGAGGATCAGGATGGAGACTCGCACAGTTACCTGGGATGAGAACTCGCTCAGACATCTTTCTCAAAGTTGGGGGTGGCAGGAACGGATCCCAGCGTGTCCGATTCCCCATCACCACCACCCGCTCAGCCTTGACAATAATAAAACACAACCTCCATGATGCTCACGCGTGGCTACACAGCACGGCTCATTGCCATTGATAATAAAGAATGCTGCTGCTGTGGGTAGCGAGAGAAATTGACACTCCCTGATGGACGCTGTTGGTCGTCTCTGGCCTCTCCTGTCCAGGACTGGGTTGTAACAGCGGTAGGGGGTTGCGTTTCTCCCATTCCGCCCATCGCCACCATCACCCGCTCAGCCTTGACAACGATAAACACAACCTCCGTGTTCACACTCGTGGCTACCTAGCAGCACTGCTCATGACCATTTCATAGTAATAATGTTGCCGCTGTGGGTAGCAAGGGACATTGACACTCCCTGATGGGCGGTGTTGACGTTGCATCAAGGTTGCGTTGAATAGCACCGAGGCTGTGTGGAGTGCCAGTAAGGAATTGCATGGAGTTGAACAGAAACGTCTGCGCTAGGCACAACTGCTGGGGTCCTGTAACACAGAACGTTAGGAGCCCCTCCCCCATCCCCGATACAAACAAATCCTGTAGTAGCAGCAGCGAGGCAAATTCAAAGGAGTTGCGGTGTTACCAGGAGGTCTGCTAACTGCCCGTATCCACCGCCGATTCGACCGTTTGCACTTCCTTCCTCTGCACTTGAACCGAGACATCAAAGACGCAGACCTGGTTCCCTGTCAAGTCACTGCCTGGGATCTCTGCCCCGTTGGGGCTTCCTTGGTTTGGAGCTGTACCGAGATGTTTGATGTTTGAGCGAGAGTAGACCAGGGAGAGGATTCTGGAAGACAGAACGTTAGAGACCCCCCCCCCCACTCCCCCTGATACAAACACAAGGCCTGTAGCAGTAGTAGCAGCAAGGCAAATGTGAATGTCAAAGTATTTACGGTGTTACCGGGTCCCGTTAACTGCCTGGAATGGCCGATGATAGAGGAGCAATTTGCGCTTCCTTCCCTCTTGCTGTCCCCTTGTACGATGTCGCGAGGTTGCTTGGGAGTTGCACAGAGAACGCGTGGAGTTGCACTGAGGCCGTGTGGAGTTGCAACTGAGGAAGTTGCGTGGAGTTGAACAGAGACGTCTGCGCTAGGCACAACTGCTGGGGTCCTGTAACATAGAACGTTAGGAGCCCCTCCCCCCACCCACCAGAGCCACAATGGCCAACACTGCACACCGCTCGCTAGCAATGTCACCATCAACGCCCTTTCCTGGCTTAGGGAAATATTCAGGATAGCCGTAAGAAAACATTGATTTCAATCTTCAGGTCACATTACGTAAACTTCACGCTGTGGTCATTTGCAAATAAAGGTTTCAAGTTTTGCCTCCATTAAAACTTTCAAAGTCCTACCGACAACTTTTCCCCGCGTGGCCAATTTCGAAAACCAAAACGTCAACAAACCTCAAATAGACATCCACATCGCTCGTTTGGTGAGCAAGGCCGAGGATCGGGCCGGAGACTCGCACGGTTACCAGCGTGTCCGATTCCCCATCACCACCACCACCCGCTCAGCCTTGACAATAATAAAACACAACCTCCATGATGCTCACGCGTGGCTACAGAGTACGGCTCATTGCCATTGATAATAAAGAATGCTGCTGCTGTGGGTAGCGAGAGACATTGACACTCCCTGATGGACGCTGTTGGTCGTCCCTGGCCTCTCCTGTCCAGGACTGGGTTGTAACAGCGGTAGGGGGTTGGCGTTTCTCCCATTCCGCCCATCGTCACCATCACCCGCTCAGCCTTGACAACGATAAACACGACCTCCGTGTTCACACTCGTGGCTACCTAGCAGCACTGCTCATGACCATTGCATAGTAATAATGTTGCTGCTGTGGGTAGCAAGAGACATTGGACACTCCCTGGTGGCGTTGAGTAGCACCGAGGCTGTGTGGAGTTCCAGTAAGGAATTGCGTGGAGTTGAACAGAGACGTCTGCGCTAGGCACAACTGCTGGGATCCTGTAACACAGAACGTTAGGAGCCCCTCCCCGATACAAACAAATCCTGTAGTAGTAGCAGCAGCGAGGCAAATTCAAACGCACGGCCAAAGGAGTTGCAGTGTTACCAGGAGGTCCGCTAACTGCCCGTATCCACCGCCGATTCGACCGTTTGCACTTCCTTCCTCTGCACTTGAACCGAGACATCAAAGACGCAGACCTGGCTCCCTGTCCTGTCACTGCCTGGGATCTCTGCCCCGTTGAGGCTTCCTTGGTTTGGAGCTGTACCGAGATGTTTGATGTTTGAGCGAGAGTAGACCAGGGAGAGGATTCTGGAAGACAGAACGTTAGAGACCCCCCCCCCCACTCCCCCTGATACAAACACAAGGCCTGTAGTAGTAGTAGTAGCAAGGCAAATGTGAATGTCAAAGTATTTACGGTGTTACCGGGTCCTGTTAACTGCCTGGAATGGCCGATGAGAGGAGCAATTTGCGCTTCCTTCCCTCTTGCTGTCCCCTTGTACGATGTCGCGAGGTTGCTTGGGAGTTGCACAGAGAACGTGTGGAGTTGCACTGAAGTTGTGAGGAGTTGGAGCAAGGTTACGTGAAGGTGTTCTGAGGTTACGTAGAGTTGCACCGAGGTAACGTGGAGTTGCACCGAGGTTGTGTGGAGGAGTTGCACTGAGGCAGTGTGGAGTTGCTACTGAGGAAGTTGTGTGGAGTTGAACAGAGACGTCTGCGCTAGGCACAACTGCTGGGGTCCTGTAACATAGAACGTTAGGAGCACCCCCCCCCCCACCCACCACCCCAGAGCCACAATGGCCAACACTGCACACCGCTCGCTAGCAATGTCACCATCAACGCCCTTTCCTGGCTTAGGGAAATATTCAGGATAGTCCAAAGAAAACATTGATTTCAATCTTCAGCTCACATGACGTAAACTTCATGCTGTGTTCATTTGCAAATAAAGGTTTCAAGTTTTGCCTCGATTAAAACTTTCAAAGTCCTGCCGACAACTTTTCCCCGCGTGTTCAATTATGAACGCCAAAAGTTCAATTTATCAAACCTCGGTCTAACACGTCGCACGCTTTCGCGACCACGATGACTCACGGTGAAGGTGTTTGTGTCAGATCGCGTTATTTATAAATGTGTCGCAACCCTCCACCACCCGACACGGCCAATCAGTAAAAAAATGTGTCACGTTGACAAGAGACAAAATAGTTCACCACTTTAGCCCGCCGGTATGTTGCAGAGTGGATCCACAACATTGACAACCTGGTTAGCGTGACGTTTCACTGCAAATCACATCCGGCGCCTTCGGGCAAATTTGCCAGAATAGTGAAACCACCCACTTGCTTCTGGTCTTAAATAGCGCAGGATGACCATGTCATCGTTGTTGAACCCCATCAGGATTCGAGATCAGAGGCGGGGGTATATGCAATCAAGTTATAGATCAGTAATCAGCAACTTAGCATGTCACTGACCTGTAAGCAATTGCAAAGTGTATTGTGTATTACTTAATTATACGCTTCCATATTCTTTGGGTCTTTCGGCAAAGTCACGTGGCTTTACCAAATGACCCAAAGAATATTAATTCCTGCAGTCACGAAAGCTTCAAGGTCGAGATTTAAGACGCTTCCAGGCTGCGCCGAGTCTGTTATTCTCCAACTAATCTTGGCCAGTAATAATTAGTTCCGTGTAACACTTCAACGTTATCAAAATCAATTGAATCTCCTTGATGGCAAGCGAGCTCAGCCACTGCCGACAGCTGCGTTTGGGAGAATTTAATGTTCCTCTGGTGTTCAAGTAAAACATCCACATCGCTCGTTTGGTGAGCAAGGCCGAGGATCGGGCCGGAGACTCGCACGGTTACCTGGGTTGAGAACTCGGCCAGAGACATCTTTCTCAAAGTTGGGGGTGGCGGGAACGGATGCCAGCGTGTCCGATTCCCCATCATCATCACCACCACCATCACCCGCTCAGCCTTGACAATGATAAACACAACCTCCGTGTTCACACTCGTGGCTACCTAGCAGCACTGCCCATGATCATTGCATAGTAATAATGTTCCCGCTGTGGGTAGAAAGAGACATTGACACTCCCTGATGGACGGTGTTGGAGTTGCATCAAGGTTGCGTTGAGTAGCACCGAGGCTGTGTGGAGTTCCAGTAAGGAAGTTGAGTGGAGTTGAACAGAGACGTCTGTGCTAGGCACAACTGCTGGGGTCCTGTAACACAGAACGTTAGGAGCCCCTCCCCCCCCACCCCCGATACAAATCCTGGGGTAGCAGCAGCGAGGCAAATTCAAACGCACGGCCAAAGGAGTTGCGGTGTTACCAGGAGGTCCGCTAACTGCCCGTATCCACCGCCGATTCGACCGTTTGCACTTCCTTCCTCTGCACTTGAACCGAGACATCGAGACACAGACCTGGCTCCCTGTCCCGTCACTGCCTGGGATCTCTGCCCCGTTGGGGCTTCCTTGGTTTGGAGCTGTACCGAGATGTTTGATGTTTGAGCGAGAGTAGACCAGGGAGAGGATTCTGGAAGACAGAACGTTAGAGACCCCCCCCACTCCCCCTGATACAAACATAAGGCCTGTAGTAGTAGCAGTAGCAGCAAGGCAAATGTGAATGTCAAAGTATTTACAGTGTTACCGGGTCCAGTTAACTGCCTGGAATGACCGATGATAGAGGAGCAATTTGCGCTTCCTTCCCTCTTGCTGTCCCCTTGTACGATGTTGCGAGGTTGCATGGGAGTTGCACAGAGAACGTGTGGAGTTGCACTGAAGTTGCGAGGAGTTGGAGAAAGGTTGCGTGAAGGTGTTCTGAGGTTACGTAGAGTTGCACCGAGGTAACGTGGAGTTGCAGCGAGGTTGAGGAGTTGCAACTGAGGAAGTTGAGTGGAGTTGAACAGAGACGTCTGCGCTAGGCACAACTGCTGGGGTCCTGTAACATAGAACGTTAGGAGCCCCTCCCCCCACCCACCACCCCAGAGCCACAATGGCCAACACTGCACACCGCTCGCTAGCAATGTCACCATCAACGCCCTTTCCTGGCTTAGCGAAATATTCAGGATAACCGTAAGAAAACATTGATTTCAATCTTCAGGTCACATTACGTAAACTTCATGCTGTGGTCATTTGTAAATTAAGGTTTCAAGTATCGACTCGATTAAAACTTTCAACGTCCTCCTAACAACTTTTCCCCGCGTTTCCAATTACGAAAACTAATCGTTCGTTTCGTGAGCAAGGCCGAGGATCGGGCCGGAGACTCGCACGGTTACCTGGGTTGAGAACTCGCCCAGACATCTTTCTCAAAAGTTGGGGGTGGCAGGAACGGATGCCAGCGTGTCCGATTCCCCATCACCACCACCACCCGCTCAGCCTTGACAATAATAAAACACAACCTCCATGATGCTCACGCCTGGCTACAGAGCACGGCTCATTGCCATTGATAATAATGAATGCTGCTGCTGTGGGTAGCGAGACACATTGACACTCTATGCTGGACGCTGTTGGTCGTCTCTGGCCTCTCCTGTCCAGGACTGGGTTGTAACAGCGGTAGGGGGTTGCGTTTCTCCCATTCCGCCCATCGCCACCATCACCCGCTCAGCCTTGACAATGATAAACACGACCTCCGTGTGTCAACGTGTGGGCTACACAGCCAAGGCTCACTGCCATTGATAAATAATGTTGCCGTGTGGGAAGTACAAGAGTCATTGACACTCCCTGGTGGATGGTAAAGGCCGTACGGCTTCTCCCACCTTCCACCCAGGGCTGGGTTGGTGTTGTACAGCAGTGCGGCTGCTTGCTCTGTGCATCAGCTTGCGTTTCCGATTCACCACCACCACCTGCTGAGCCTTGACAATGATAAACACAACCTCAGTGTTCACACTCGTGGCTACCTAGCGGCACTGCTCATGACCATTGCATAGTAATAATGTTGCTGCTGTGGGTAGCAAGAGACATTGACACTCTCTGATGGACGGTGTTGGAGTTGCATCAAGGTTGCGTTGAGTAGCACCGAGGCTGTGTGGAGTTCCAGTAAGGAATTGATTGATGTTTGAGCGAGAGTAGACCAGGGAGAGGAATCTGGAAGACAGAACGTTAGAGACCCCCCCCACTCCCCCTGATACAAACACAAGGCCTGTAGCAGCAGTAGCAGCAAGGCAAATGTGAATGTCAAAGTATTTACGGTGTTACCGGGTCCCGTTAACTGCCTGGAATGGCCGATGATAGAGGAGCAATTTGCGCTTCCTTCCCTCTTGCTGTCCCCTTGTACGATGTCGCGAGGTTGCTTGGGAAGTGCACAGAGAACGCGTGGAGTTGCACTGAAGTTGCGAGGAGTTGGAGCAAGGTTGCGTGAAGGTGTTGAGGTTACGTAAAGTTGCACCGAGGTAACGTGGAGTTGCACTGAGGAAGTTGCGTGGAGTTGAACAGAGACGTCTGCTCTAGGCACAACTGCTGGGGTCCTGTAACACAGAACGTTAGGAGCCCCTCCCCCCACCCACCACCCCAGAGCCACAATGGCCAACACTGCACACCGCTTGCTAGCAATGTCACCATCAACGCCCGTTCCTGGCTAAGGGAAATATTCAGGATAGCCGTAAGAAAACATTGATTTCAAACTTTAAATCACATTACGTAAACTTCATGCTGTGGTTATTCTATAACTAGGCTTCAAGTATTGACTCGTTAAAAACTTTCAAAGTCCTCCTGACAACTTTTCACCACGTGGCCAATTATGAAAACTAATCGCTCGATTGGTGAGCAAGGCCGAGGATCGGGCCGGAGACTCGCACGGTTACCTGGGTTGAGAACTCGCCCAGACATCTTTCTCAAAGTTGGGGGGGCAGGAACGGATGCCAGCGTGTCCGATTCCCCATCACCACCACCACCACCCGCTCAGCCTTGACAATAAAACACAACCTCCATGATGCTCACGCGTGGCTACACAGCACGGCTCATTGCCATTGATAATAACGAATGCTGCTGCTGTGGGTAGCGAGACATTGACACTCCCTGATGTCGGACGCTGTTGGTCGTCTCTGGCCTCTCCTGTCCAGGACTGGGTTGTAACAGCGGTAGGGGGTTGCGTTTCTCCCATTCCGCCCATCGCCACCATCACCCGCTCAGCCTTGACAATGATAAACACGACCTCCGTGTTCACACTCGTGGCTACCTAGCAGCACTGCTCATGACCATTGCATAGTAATAATGTTGCTGCTGTGGGTAGCAAGAGACATTGACACTCCCTGATGGACGGTGTTGGAGTTGCATCAAAGTTGCGTTGAGTAGCACCGAGGCTGTGTGGAGTTCCAGTAAGGAATTGCAGAGACGTCTGCGCTAGGCACAACTGTGGGGTCCTGTAACACAGAACGTTAGGAGCCCCTCCCCCCTCCCCGATACAAATAAATCCTGTAGTAGCAGCAGCGAGGCAAATTCAAACGCACGGCCAAAGGAGTTGCGGTGTTACCAGGAGGTCCGCTAACTGCCCGTATCCACCGCCGATTCGACCGTTTGCACTTCCTTCCTCTGCACTTGAACCGAGACATCAAAGACGCAGACCTGGCTCCCTGTCCCGTCACTGCTTGGGATCTCTACCCCATGGGGCTTCCTTGGTTTGGAGCTCTATCGAGATGTTGAGATGTTCAAAGCGAGTAGGAGAGTAGACCCGGGGAGGATTCTGGAAGACAGAACGTTAGAGTACCCCCCCCCCGCCGCCTCCTACTGCCGATACAAACACAACTACGGTAGTAGCTAGGCCAATTAAAACAGGCGCCAAAGTATTTGTGGTGTCGCCAGGTACCGGTACAACCGCCTGGAATCGCCGACGGACGCAGACCTTGGGCCTCCTCCTCCTCCGCGAGTAGCCGGGTGGAGGAGTCTGCAGGTTGCAGCGTTAAAGGAACCCCCCCCCCCTCCCCCAACTGCCACAGTCAACAAACTTGAAAGCAACGGATGGCCCAGGAGCTGCGCTTTTACCAGGAGGTCCGTTAACTGCCTGGGTTTTCCCGACGACGCCCCAGACATCCGCACTTCCTTCACGGGACGCACGAGAGGGTTTGTGTGGAGCTCGAAGCGAGAGAGACGTCTGTGTAAATCAGACTTTAGCTCTTGCCACTGCCTGGATTCACCGATGATCTCTCTTCCCCCTCTTTGCTGGCATTGCGAGGACGCAGAAGCGAGGGATTCTGGAAAATAAAACGTTAAGACCCCCCCCCCCCCCCCCCGCAACTCCGATACAAAAGCAAAGCCCGTAGTCGTCGTTGATAATTCGAAAGGCAACGGCGTTTTAACTTTACCAGGTGTCCCGTTAACGGTCTGGATTCTCCCGACGACGCCCCAGACATCTGCACGCCCTCCACTCCGCTTGCAACAACACGAAGCCGCGTGGAGTTGAACCGAGACATCAAAGACGCAGACCTGGCTCCCTGTCCCGTCACTGCCTGGGATCTCTGCCCCGTTGGGGCTTCCTTGGTTTGGAGCTGTACCGAGATGTTTGATGTTTGAGCGAGAGTAGACCAGGGAGAGGATTCTGGAAGACAAAACGTTAGAGACCCCCCGCCCCACTCCCCCTGATACAAACACAAGGCCTGTAGTAGCAGTAGCAGCAAGGCAAATGTGAATGTCAAAGTATTTACGGTGTTACCGGGTCCCGTTAACTGCCTGGAATGGCCGATGATAGAGGAGCTTTTTGCGATTCCTTCCCTCTTGCTGTCCCCTTGTACGATGTCACGAGGTTGCTTGGGAGTTGCACAGAGAAAGCGTGGAGTTGCACTGAAGTTGCACTGAAGTTGCGAGAAGTTTGGAGAGCAAGGCTGCGTGAAGGTGTTCTGAAGTTACGTAAAGTTGCACCGAGGTAACGTGGAGTTGCAACGAGGTTGTGTGGAGGAATTGCAACTGAGGCCGTGTGGAGTTGCACTGAGGAAGTTGCGTAGAGTTGAACAAAGACGTCTGCGCTAGGCACAAATGCTGGGGTCCTGTAACACAGAACGTTAGGAGCCCCTCCCCCCACCCACCACCCCAGAGCCACAATGACCAACACTGCACACCGCTCGCTAGCAATGTCACCATCAACGCCCTTTTCTGGCTTACACAACTATTCGGGACAGCCGTAAGAAAACATTAATTTCAATCTTCAGGTCACATTAAGGAAACTTCATGCTGTGGTCATTTGCAAATAAAGGTTTCAAGTTTTGCCTCCATTGAAACTTTCACAACGTCCTCCTGACAACATTTCCCCGCGTTTCCAATTACGAAAACTAATCGATCGTTTGGTGAGAAGGCCGAGGATCGGGCCGGAGACTCGCACGGTTACCTGGGTTGAGAACTCGCCCAGACATCTTTCTCAAAGTTGGGGGTGGCAGGAACGGATGCCAGCGTGTCTGATTCCCCATCACCACCACCCGCTCAGCCTTAACAATAATAAAACACAACCTCCATGATGCTCACGCGTGGCTACAGAGCACGGATCATTGCCATTGATAATAACGAATGCTGCTGCTGTGGGTAGCGAGAGACATTGACACTCCCTGATGGACGCTGTTGGTCGTCTCTGGCCTCTCCTGTCCAGGACTGGGTTGTAACAGCGGTAGGGGGTTGCGTTTCTCCCATACCGCCCATCGCCACCATCACCCGCTCAGCCTTGACAACGATAAACACGACCTCCGTGTTCACTCGTGGCTACCTAGCAGCACTGCTCATGACCATTTCATAGTAATAATGTTGCTGCTGTGGGTAACAAGAGACATTGACACGCCCTGATGGACGGTGTTGGTGTTCTCTCCCCCTCCTGTCCAGGACTGGATTGTAACAGCGGTAGGAGGCTGCAGACCTGGCTCCCTGTCCCGTCACTGCCTGGGATCTCTGCCCCTTTGGGGCTTCCTCGGTTTGGAGCTGTATCGAGATGTTTGATGTTTGAGCGAGAGTAGACCAGGGAGAGGATTCTGGAAGATAAACCGTTAGGACACCCGCCCCCCCTAACCCACCCCCCAGCAGCGATGCGAATGCAGTAGCAACGAAAACAAACTTGAACGGGTGACAAAGGAGTCGCTGTGTTACCAGGCTCCATGGAAACTGCCTGGGTTCGACCGACGACACCCCAGACGTCCTCACACCCTTCACTCCTCCGCTGTTCCGTGTACGACCGACACCAAAGGGTGTCCCCCGAGTTGAAACCAAGACAGACGTCATAACGCAGGACTGGTGGGGCTCCCCTTCCTGTAACTGCCTGGAATCTCTGCCCTGTTGGGAGCTTCCTTGGTTTGGAGCTGTGCAGAGATGGTTCAGAGTAGACCAGGGAGAGGATTCTGGAAGACAGAACGTTAGAGACCCCCCCACTCCCCCCTGATACAAACACAAGGCCTGTAGTAGTAGTAGTAAGGCAAATGTGAATGTCAAAGTATTTACGGTGTTACCGGGTCCCGTTAACTGCCTGGAATGGCCGATGATAGAGGAGCAATTGGCGCTTCCTTCCCTCTTGCTGTCCCCTTGTACGATGTCGCGAGGTTGCTTGGGAGGTGCACAGAGAACGTGGAGTTGCACTGAAGTTGTGAGGAGTTGGAGCAAGGTTGCGTGAAGGTGTTCTGAGGTTACGTAGAGTTGCACCGAGGTAACGTGGAGTTGCACCGAGGTTGTGTGGAGGAGTTGCACTGAGGCCGTGTGAGTTGTAACTGAGGAAGTTGCGGAGTTGAACCAAGACGTCTGCGCTAGGCACAACTGCTGGGGTCCTGTAACAGAACGTTAGGAGCCCCTCCCCCCACCCACCACCCCAGAGCCACAATGGCCAACACTGCACACCACTCGCTAGCAATGTCACCATCAACGCCCTTTCCTGGTTATGCAACTATTTCGGGACAGCCGTAGGAAAACATTAATTTCAATCTTCAGGTCACATTCGCTAATTAGGTTTCAAGTTTTGCCTCGATTAAAACTTTCACAAAGTCCTGCCGACAACTTTTCCCCGCGTGTTCAATTATGAACGCCAAAAGTTCAATTCATCAAAACTCGGTCTAACACGTCGCACGCTTTCGCGACCACGATGATTCACGGTGAAGGTGTTTTTGTGTCAGATCGCGTTATTTATAAATGTGTCGCAACCCTCCACCACCCGACACGGCCAATCAGTAAAAAGATGTGTCACGTTGACAAGAGACAAAATAGTTCACCACTTTAGCCCGCCGGTGTATTGAAGAGCGGATCCACAACATTTACAAAATCTGGGTAGCGTGACGTTTCACTGCAAATCACATCCGGACCTTCGGGCAAATCTGCAAGAATAGTGAAACCGTCCACCTGCTTCTGGTCTTAAATCGTGCAGGATGACCGTGCCATCGTTGTAGAACCCCATCAGGATTCGAGATTATATGCGGGGGTCTATGCAATCAATAGATCGGTAATCAGCAACTTAGTACGCAACTCATCTGTAAGCAATTGCAAAGTGCGTTGAGTATTACTTAATAATACGCTTCCATATTCTTTGGGTCTTTCGGTAAAGTCACGTGGCTTTACCGAATGACCCAAAGAATATTAATTCCTGCAGTCGTGAAAGCTTCAAGTCGAGATTTAAGACGCTTCCAGGCTGCGCCGAGCCTGTTGTGATCACAGTGGGTTGAAATTATTTGAATTCTTTTCAATTCAAAATTATTATCCAACTAATCTTGGCATGTAATAACTAGCTCCGCGTAACACTTCAACGTTATCAAAATCAATTGAATGTCCTTGCCGGCAAGCGAGCTCAGCCACTGCCGACAGCTGCGTTTGGGAGAATTTAATGTTCCTTTGGTGTTCAAGTAAAACATCCACATCGCTCGTTTGGTGAGCAAGGCCGAGGATTGGGCCGGAGACTCGCACGGTTACCTGGGTTGAGAACTCGCCCAGACATCTTTCTCAAAGTTGGGGGTGGCAGGAACGGATGCCAGCGTGTCCGATTCCCCATCACCACCACCCGCTCAGCCTTGACAATAATAAAACACAACCTCCGTGATGCTCACGCGTGGCTACAGAGCACGGCTCATTGCCATTGATAATAAAGAATGCTGCTGCTGTGGGTAGCGAGAGACATTGACACTCCCTGATGGACGCTGTTGGTCGTCTCTGGCCTCTCCTGTCCAGGACTGGGTTGTAACAGCGGTAGGGGGTTGCGTTTCTCCCATTCCGCCCATCGCCACCATCACCCGCTCAGCCTTGACAACGATAAACACGACCTCCGTATGTCCACGTGTGGGCTACACAGCCAAGGCTCACTGCCATTGATAAATAATGTTGCCGTGTGGGAAGTACAAGAGTCATTGACTCCCTGGTGGATGGTAAAGGCCGTACGGCTTCTCCCGCCTTCCACCCAGGGCTGGGTTGGTGTTGTACAGCAGTGCGGCTGCTTGCTCTGTGCATCAACTTGCGTTTCCGATTCACCACCACCACCACCTGCTGAGACTTGACAATGATAAACACAACCTCCGTGTTCACACTCGTGGCTACCTAGCGGCACTGCTCATGACCATTGCATAGTAATGTTACTACTGTGGGTAGCAAGAGACATTGACACTTCCCGATGGACGGTGTTGGAGTTGCATCAAGGTTGCGTTGAGTAGCACCGAGGCTGTGTGGAGTTCCAGTAAGGAATTGATTGATGTTTGAGCGAGAGTAGACCAGGGAGAGGAATCTGGAAGACAGAACGTTAGAGACCCCCCCCCCCCACTCCCCCTGATACAAACACAAGGCCTGTAGCAGCAGTAGCAGCAAGGCAAATGTGAATGTCAAAGTATTTACGGTGTTACCGGGTCCCGTTAACTGCCTGGAATGGCCGATGATAGAGGAGCAATTTGCGCTTCCTTCCCTCTTGCTGTCCCCTTGTACGATGTCGCGAGGTTGCTTGGGAAGTGCACAGAGAACGTGTGGAGTTGCACTGAAGTTGCGAGGAGTTGGAGCAAGGTTGCGTGAAGGTGTTGAGGTTACGTAAAGTTGCACCGAGGTAACGTGGAGTTGCACTGAGGAAGTTGCGTGGAGTTGAACAGAGACGTCTGCGCTAGGCACCACTGCTGGGGTCCTGTAACATAGAACGTTAGGAGCCCCTCCCCCCACCCACCACCCCAGAGCCACAATGGCCAACACTGCACACCGCTTGCTAGCAATGTCACCATCAACGCCCGTTCCTGGCTAAGGGAAATATTCAGGATAGCCGTAAGAAAACATTTATTTCAAACTTTAAGTCACATTACGTAAACTTCATGCTGTGGTTATTCTATAACTAGGCTTCAAGTATTGACTCGTTAAAAACTTTCAAAGTCCTCCTGACAACTTTTCCCCGCGTGGCCAATTATGAAAACTAATCGCTCGATTGGTGAGCAAGGCCGAGGATCGGGCCGGAGACTCGCACGGTTACTTGGGTTGAGAACTCGCCCAGACATCTTTCTCAAAGTTGGGGGTGGCAGGAACGGATGCCAGCGTGTCCGATTCCCCATCACCACCACCACCCGCTCAGCCTTGACAATAATAAAACACAACCTCCGTGTTCACACTCGTGGCTACCCAGCAGCACTGCTCATGACCATTTCATAGTAATAATGTTGCTGCTGTGGGTAGCAAGAGACATTGACACTCCCTGACGGTGTTGGTTTTCTCACTCCTCCCCTGTCCAGGACTTGGCTGTGACCACGTGAGAGACTGTTGCTTGGAGGAGCTCTGGCGGGAATGTTCTGAGTCAAGAGATGCTGGATGGGAATTCTAGAAGACAGCGAATTAGAGACCCCCCCCCACCCTCCCCCAAGTCCCAGTCCCAAACTTGAAAGCAACGGATGGCACTGAAGTTGCGAGGAGTTGGAGCAAGGTTGCGTGAAGGTGTTCTTAAGTTACGTAAAGATGCACCAAGGTTGTATGGAAGAGTTGCACTGAGGCCGTGTGGAGTTGCAACTGAGGAAGTTGCGTGGAGTTGAACAGAGACGTCTGCGCTAGGCACCACTGCTGGGGTCCTGTAACATAGAACGTTAGGAGCCCCTCCCCCCACCCACCACCCCAGAGCCACAATGGCCAACACTGCACACCGCTCGCTAGCAATGTCACCATCAACGCCCTTTCCTGGCTTAGGGAAATATTCAGGATAGCCGTAAGAAAACATTGATTTCAATCTTCAGGTCACATTACGTAAACTTCACGCTGTGGTCATTTGCAAATTAAGGTTTCAATTTTTGCGTCGATTAAAACTTTCAACGTCCTCCTGACAACTGTTCCCCGCGTTTCCAGTTAAGAAAACTAATCGCTCGTTTGGTGAGCAAGGCCGAGGATCGGGCCGGAGACTCGCACGGTTACCTGGGTTGAGAACTCGCCCAGACATCTTTTTCAAAGTTGGGGGTGGCAGGAACGGATGCCATCGTGTCCGATTCCCCATCGCCACCAACAACCGCTCAGCCTTGACTATGATAAACACAACCTCCGTGTTCACACTCGTGGCTACCTAGCAGCACTGCTCATGACCACTGAATAGTAATAATGTTGCCGCTGTGGGTAGCAAGAGACATTGACACTCCCTGATGGACGGTGTTGACGTTGCATCAAGGTTGCGTTGAGTGGCACCGAGGCTGTGTGGAGTTCCAGTAAGGAATTGCGTGGAGTTGAACAGAGACGTCTGCGCTAGGCACAACTGCTGGGGTCCTGTAACACAGAACGTTAGGAGCCCCTCCCCCCTCCCCGATACAAACAAATCCTGTAGTAGTAGCAGCGAGGCAAATTCAAACGCACGGCCAAAGGAGTTGCGGTGTTACCAGGAGGTCCGCTAACTGCCCGTATCCACCGCCGATTCGACCGTTTGCACTTCCTTCCTCTGCACTTGAACCGAGACATCAAAGACGCAGACCTGGCTCCCTGTCCCGTCACTGCCTGGGATCTCTGCCCCGCTGGGGTTCCAACCCAAGAGACATCTGCGTGAGGCAGACTCGGGGCTCCTGTAACCGCCCTGGGTTCACCGATGATCTCTCTCCCCCTTTGCTGCTGCTGCTGCTGTTGTTGCGAGCACGCAGGAGACGCGAGGGAGTCTGCAAGACACGGCGTTAACACAACACTGCCCCCCCAGCCCCCCAGCCCAGCACCTCCGACTCACGACAAACGAACACAAATCACGGATAAAAACGCGACGTTTGTAAAAGAAGCGTTGGATTCGTGCCAGAGGATTTATTCGGTTTTTACCGGGTGCCCCAGACACCGGCCCCGGATTCTCCGACGACGACGACGCCCAGACACCGGCGCACGACGGACACACACACACACAGTGACACACACACACAGTGACACACACACACAGTGACACACACACACACAGTGACACACACACACAGTGACACACACACACACGGAGGGTTTGCGCGCAGTTCGAACCGAGAGCGACCGTCTGTGTAAATCATCAAACTCGGTGCTCCTGCTGGGAACGCCTGGGTTTCGCCCACGACCCCTCTCTTTGCTGCTGCTGCTGTTGTTGTTGCGAGCACGCAGGAGACGCGAGGGAGTCTGTAGGAGGCGGAGTGAACACAACAACCCCTCCCCCTTCCTCCTACCCAGCCCACAACTCCCGACGTGAGAACACGAATTCTAGTAGCAACGCAACCGTTTGTAAAAGCGTAACAGAGTTACTCATTGTTTTTTTCCGTAAAGCCACGTGTGTATAAATACCATAAAATTAAAATCAATCAATCACGACGTTTCGACCGCAACACAAGCGATCTTCATCAGGTGTAAAAAAACCAAATAGCACACAGGGTGACATCAACGCAGCACATGGAGAGCGTTAAACTGCACGGAGGTAAAAACAACAACTCTATATGTGTTGCGTCGATGTCACCCTGTGTGCTATTTGTTTTTTTTACACCTGATGAAGATCGCTTGTGTTGCGGTCGAAACGTCGTGATTGATTTATTTTATTTTAATATAATTTCATGCTATTTATACATACGTGACTTTACCGAAAAAAATGAGTAATTTAAACAGTCACGAAAGCTTTAATTCTATCGTAACAGTTGTTGTTTTTGGGTTTGATCGCGTAAATATATTAAATGTGTCGTTAAAACCCGCCACCACCCGACACGGCCAATTGGGGTAAGGTTTGTCGCGTGAACAAAACGTGCCAATTCGTCACTGGTTCTAGCACACGCACAAAAAACAACTTCTGTTATGTACATCGCTCGTGAAACGTTAGGAACCCCCCCGCCCCAAACTACGATACGAACGCAAAGCCTGAAGTAGTCATTGATGATTCGGGGCTGCTGGCACTTTGATCCAGACTCCACACCTGACCCTCGCTCCAGACTCCACTCCTGACCCTCGCTCCAGACTCCACTCCTGACCCTCGCTCCAGACTCCACTCCTGACCCTCGCTCCAGACTCCACTCCTGACCCTCGCTCCAGACTCCACTCCTGACCCTCGCTCCAGACTCCACTCCTGACCCTCGCTCCAGACTCCACTCCTGATCCTCGCTCCAGACTCCACTCCTGATCCTCGCTCCAGACTCCACTCCTGATCCTCGCTCCAGACTCCACTCCTGATCCTCGCTCCAGACTCCACTCCTGATCCTCGCTCCAGACTCCACTCCAGATCCTCGCTCCAGACTCCACTCCAGATCCTCGCTCCAGACTCTACTCCTGATCCTCGCTCCAGACTCCACTCCTGATCCTCGCTCCAGACTCCACTCCTGATCCTCGCTCCAGACTCCACTCCTGATCCTCGCTCCAGACTCCACTCCTGATCCTCGCTCCAGACTCAATTCCACTCCTGATCCTCGCTCCAGACTCCACTCCTGATCCTCGCTCCAGACTCCACTCCTGATCCTCGCTCCAGACTCCACTCCACTCCTGATCCTCGCTCCAGACTCCACTCCACTCCTGATCCTCGCTCCAGACTCCACTCCACTCCTGATCCTCGCTCCAGACTCCACTCCTGATCCTCGCTCCGGACTCCACTCCACTCCCGATCCTCGCTCTAGACTCCACTCCTGATCCTCGCTCCAGACTCCACTCCCGATCCTCGCTCTAGACTCCACTCCTGATCCTCGCTCCAGACTCCACTCCTGATCCTCTCTCCAGACTCCACTCCAGATCCTCGCTCTAGACTCCACTCCTGATCCTCGCTCCAGACTCCACTCCTGATCCTCTCTCCAGACTCCACTCCAGATCCTCGCTCCAGACTCCACTCCTGACCCTCGCTCCAGACCTTCGCTCCAGACTCCACTCATGATCCTCGCCCATCAACTCTCTCGCTCTGTCCCCCCCCCCCCCCCCGTTGCACTTCTTGTTGCGAGCACGCAGGAGACGCAAGTCTGGAAGATACGGCGTTAGGGGACAACACCACCCCCCACCCGCTTCCCCGTCAACTCCCGACACACGAACACAAATAAAATAACAAAAAACTCGCGTTTAACAAAGCGACGCGTTTCAGCAGAGACTCGTGGTTGTTACCAGGTGTCCCGTTAACGGCATGGATTCTCCCGACGTCGCCCCAGACATGTGCACGCCCTCCACTCCGCTTGCAACAACACGAAGCCACGTGGAGTTGAACCGAGACATCAAAGACGCAGACCTGGCTCCCTGTCCCGTCACTGCCTGGGATCTCTGCCCCGTTGGGGCTTCCTTGGTTTGGAGCTGTACCGAGATGTTTGATGTTTGAGCGAGAGTAGACCAGGGAGAGGATTTTGGAAGACAGAACGTTAGAGACCCCCCCCCCCACTCCCCCTGATACAAACACAAGGCCTGTAGCAGTAGTAGCAGTTGCAAGGCAAATGTGAATGTCAAAGTATTTACGGTGTTACCGGGTCCCGTTAACTGCCTGGAATGGCCGATGATAGAGGAGCAATTTGCGCTTCCTTCCCTCTTGCTGTCCCCTTGTACGATGTCGCGAGGTTGCTTGGGAGTTGCACAGAGAACGCGTGGAGTTGCACTGAAGTTGTGAGGAGTTGGAGCAAGGTTGCGTGAAGGTGTTCTGGGGTTACGTAAAGTTGCAGCGAGGTAACGTGGAGTTGCACTGAGGAAGTTGCGTGGAGTTGAACAGAGACGTCTGCGCTAGGCACAACTGCTGGGGTCCTGTAACATAGAACGTTAGGAGCCCCTCCCCCCACCCACCACCCCAGAGCCACAATGGCCAACACTGCACACCGCTCGCTAGCAATGTCACCATCAACGCCCTTTCCTGGCTTAGGGAAATATTCAGGAGAGTCATAAGAAAACATTGATTTCAATCTTCAGGTCACATTACATAAACTTCATGCTGTGGTCATGTGCAAATAAAGGTTTCAAGTTTTTGCCTCGATTAAAACTTTCACAAAGTCCTACCGACAACTTTTCCCCGCGAGACCAATCACGAAAATCAAAAGGTCAAACTTCAAATAGACATCCACATCGCTCGTTTGGTGAGCAAGGCCGAGGATCGGGCCGGAGACTCGCACGGTTACCTGGGTTGAGAACTCACCCAGAGACATCTTTCTCAAAGGTGGGGGTGGCAGGAACGGATGCCAGCGAGTCCGATTCCCCATCACCACCACCACCACCCGCTCAGCCTTGACAATAATAAAACACAACCTCCGTGATGCTCACGCGTGGCTACAGAGCACGGCTCATTGCCATAGATAATAATGAATGCTGCTGCTGTGGGTAGCGAGAGACATTGACACTCCCTGATGGACGCTGTTGGTCGTCTCTGGCCTCTCCTGTCCAGGACTGGGTTGTAACAGCGGTAGGGGGTTGCGTTTCTCCCATTCCGCCCATTGCCACCATCACCAGCTCAGCCTTGACAATGATAAACACAACCTCCGTATGTCCACGTGTGGGCTACACAGCCAAGGCTCACTGCCATTGATAAATAATGTTGCCGTGTGGGAAGTACAAGAGTCATTGACACTCCCTGGTGGATGGTAAAGGCCGTACGGCTTCTCCCGCCTTCCACCCAGGGCTGGGTTGGTGTCGTACAGCAGTGCGGCTGCTTGCTCTGTGCATCAGCTTGCGTTTCCGATTCACCACCACCACCACCACCTGCTGAGCCTTGACAATGATAAACACAACCTCCGTGTTCACACTCGTGGCTACCTAGCAGCACTGCTCATGACCATTGCATAGTAATTAATGTTGCTGTGGGTAGCAAGAGACATTGACACTCCCTGATGGACGGTGTTGACGTTCTCTGGCCCCTCCTGTCCAGGACTGGGTTGTAACAGCGGTAGGAGGCTGCAGACCTGGCTCCCTGTCCCGTCACTGCCTGAGATCTCTGCCCCGTTGGGGCTTCCTTGGTTTGGAGCTGTACCGAGATGTTTGATGTTTGAGCGAGAGTAGACCAGGGAGAGGATTCTGGAAGATAAACCGTTAGAGACCCCACCCCCCCCCCCCCGATACAAACACAAGGCCTGTAGTAGTAGTAGCAGTAGCAGCAAGGCAAATGTGAATGTCAAAGTATTTACGGTGTTACCGGGTGCCGTTAACTGCCTGGAATGGCCGATGATAGAGGAGCAATTTGCGCTTCCTTCCCTCTTGCTGTCCCCTTGTACGATGTCGCGAGGTTGCTTGAGAGGTGCACAGAGAACACGTGGAGTTGCACTGAAGTTGTGAGGAGTTGGAGCAAGGTTGCGTGAAGGTGTTCTGAGGTTACGTGGAGTTGCACCGAGGTTGTGTGGAGGAGTTGCAGCGAGGTTGTGTGGAGTTGTAACTGAGGCCATGTGGAGTTGCACTGAAGTTGCACTGAAGTTGCGAGGAGTTGGAGCAAGGTTGCGTGAAGGTGTTCTTAAGTTACGTAAAGATGCACCGAGGTTGTGTGGAGTTGCACCGAGGTTGTATGGAAGAGTTGCACTGAGGCCGTGTGAGTTGCAACTGAGGAAGTTGCGTGGAGTTGAACAGAGACGTCTGCGCTAGGCACAACTGCTGGGGTCCTGTAACATAGAACGTTAGGAGCCCCTCCCCCCACCCACCAGAGCCACAATGGCCAACACTGCACACCGCTCGCTAGCAATGTCACCATCAACGCCCTTTCCTGGCTTAGGGAAATATTCAGGATAGCCGTAAGAAAACATTGATTTCAATATTCAGGTCACATTACATAAACTTTACGCTGTGGTCATTTGCAAATTAAGGTTTCAATTTTTGCGTCGATTAAAACTTTCAACGTACTCCTGACAACTGTTCCCCGCGTTTCCAATTACGAAAACTAATCGCTCGTTTGGTGAGCAAGGCCGAGGATCGGGCCGGAGACTCGCACGGTTACCTGGGTTGAGAACTCGCCCAGACATCTTTCTCAAAGTTGGGGGTGGCAGGAACGGATGCCAGCGTGTCCGATTCCCCATCACCACCACCACCCGCTCAGCCTTGACAATAATAAAACACAACCTCCATGATGCTCACGCGTGGCTACAGAGCACGCCTAATTGCCATTGATAATAAAGAATGCTGCTGCTGTGGGTAGCGAGAGACATTGACACTCCCTGGTGGACGCTGTTGGTCGTCTCTGGCCTCTCCTGTTCAGGACTGGGTTGTAACAGCGGTAGGGGGTTGCGTTTCTCCCATTCCGCCCATCGCCACCATCACCCGCTCGGCCTTGACAATGATAAACACGACCTCCGTGTGTCCACGTGTGGGCTACACAGCCAAGGGTCACTGCCATTGATAAATAATGTTGCCGTGTGAGAAGTACAAGAGTCATTGACACTCCCTGGTGGATGGTAAAGGCCGTACGGCTTCTCCCGCCTTCCACCCAGGGCTGGGTTGGTGTCGTACAGCAGTGCGGCTGGTTGCTCTGTGCATCAGCTTGCGTTTACGAATCACCACCACCACCTGCTGAGCATTGACAATGATAAACACAACCTCCGTGTTCACACTCGTGGCTACCTAGCAGCACTGCTCATGACCATTGCATAGTAATAATGTTGCCGCTGTGGGTAGCAAGAGACATTGACACTCCCTTATGGACGGTGTTGCTGTTCTCTGGCCCCTCCTGTCCAGGACTGGGTTTTAACAGCGGTAGGAGGCTGCAGACCTGGCTCCCTGTCCCGTCACTGCCTGGGATCTCTGCCCCGTTGGGGTTTCCTTGGTTTGGAGCTGTACCGAGATGTTTGATGTTTGAGCGAGAGTAGACCAGGGAGAGGATTCTGGAAGACAACGTTAGAGACCCCCCCCCACTCCCCCCTGATACAAACACAAGGCCTGTAGTAGTAGCAGCAAGGCAAATGTGAATGTCAAAGTATTTACGGTGTTACCGGGTCCCGTTAACTGCCTGGAATGGCCGATTATATGATAGAGGAGCAATTTGCGCTTCCTTCCCTCTTGCTGTCCCCTTGTACGATGTCGCGAGGTTGCTTGGGAGGTGCACAGAGAACGTGTGGAGTTGCACTGAAGTTGTGAGGAGTTGGAGCAAGGTTGCGTGAAGGTGTTCTGAAGTTAAGTAAAGTTGCACCGAGGTAACGTGGAGTTGCACCGAGGTTGTATGGAAGAGTTGTAACTGAGGAAGTTGCGTGGACTTGAACAGAGACGTCTGCGCTAGGCACAACTGCTGGGGTCCTGTAACACAGAACGTTAGGAGCCCCTCCCCCCTCCCCGATACAAACAAATCCTGTAGTAGTAGCAGCAGCGAGGCAAATTCAAACGCACGGCCAAAGGAGTTGCGGTGTTACCAGGAGGTCCGCTAACTGCCCGTATCCACCGCCGATTCGACCATTTGCACTTCCTTCCTCTGCACTTGAACCGAGACATCAAAGACGCAGATCTGGCTCCCGGTCCAGTCACTGCCTGGGATCTCTGCCCCGTTGGGGTTCCAACCCAAGATACATCTGCGTGAGGCAGACTCGGGGCTCCTGTAACCGCCCTGGGTTCACCGATGATCTCTCTCCCCCTTTGCTGCTGCCGCTGTTGTTGTTGCGAGCACGCAGGAGACGTGAGGGAGTCTGCAAGACACGGCGTTAACACAACACCGCCCCCCCAGCCCCGCACCTCCGACTCACGACAAACGAACACAAATCACGGATAAAAACGCGACGTTTGTAAAAGAAGCGTTGGATTCGTGCCAGAGGATTTATTCGGTTTTTACCGGGTGCCCCAGACACCGGCCCCGGATTCTCCGACGACGACGACGCCCAGACACCGGCGCACGACGGACACACACACACACAGTGACACACACACAGTGACACACACACACACACAGTGACACACACACACACACAGTGACACACACACACACACAGTGACACACACACACACACACAGTGACACACACACACACACAGTGACACACACACACACAGTGACACACACACACACAGTGACACACACACACACACACAGTGACACACACACACACACAGTGACACACACACACACACAGTGACACACACACACACACAGTGACACACACACACACAGTGACACACACACACACAGTGACACACACACACACACACAGTGACACACACACACACACACAGTGACACACACACACACACACAGTGACACACACACACACACAGTGACACACACACACAGTGACACACACACACACAGTGACACACACACAGTGACACACACACAGTGACACACACACACAGTGACACACACACACAGTGACACACACACGGAGGGTTTGCGCGCAGTTCGAACCGAGAGCGACCGTCTGTGTAAATCATCAAACTCGGTGCTCCTGCTGGGAACGCCTGGGTTTCGCCCACGACCCCTCTCTTTGCTGCTGCTGCTGTTGTTGTTGTTGCGAGCACGCAGGAGACGCGAGGGAGTCTGTAGGAGGCGGAGTGAACACAACAAACCCTCCCCCTTCCTCATACCCAGCCCACAACTCCCGACGTGAGAATACGAATTCTATTAGCAACGCAACCGTTTGTAAAAGCGTAACAGAGTTACTCATTGGTTTTTTTCCGTAAAGCCACGTGTGTATAAATACCATAAAATTAATATAAAATAACTCAATCACGACGTTTCGTCAGCAACACAAGCGATCTTCATCAGGTGTAAAAAACCAAATAGCACACAGGGTGACATCAACGCAGCACATAGAGAGCGTTAAACTGCACGGAGGTAAAAACAACTCTCTATGTGTTGATGCCACCCTATGTGCTATTTGTTTTTTTACACCTGATGAAGATCGCTTGTGTTGCAGTCCAAACGTCGTGATTGATTTATTTTATTTTAATATAATTTCATGGTATTTCTACATACGTGACTTTACCGAAAAAAACAATGAGTAATTTATGCAGTCACAAAAGCTTTAATTCTTTCGTAACAGAGTTGTCGTTTTCGGGTTTGATCGCGTAAATATATTAAATGTGTCGTTAAAACCCGCCACCACCCGACACGGCCAATTGGGGTAAGGTTTGTCGCGTGAACAAAACGTGCCAATTCGTCACTGGTTCTAACACACGCACAAAAACCAACTTCTGTTATGTATTCTAGATTTAAAGCTTTCGTGACTGCTAGGATCCATACTCTTTGGTTCTATTGGGTAAAGTCACGTAGGTGAAAATAAAATAACAAAAAATCACGACGTTTCGGCCACAACACAAATTAAGCAACCATTGGAAAGATGTTCTAAATCGAACTAAACATTAAACTAATTTTAATGGTACAGTATATTTTTCAAGTAGTGGTACCCCAAACTTTCGCAGCTCTTATAAATTCCCTTTTCACACCATCAATAGGTAAACTCCCCCCCCCCCGCGCCAAACGGCACGTACACCACCTCTCTCCAAAAATCCGCCAATCAAATGCTAATTTTTATGCTAATTTCTTTGTCAGAACACCTTGTTGGCTCGCACACATTTTAAAGGTCCGCTGTCTGAGCGTGGTTGTGTTTCGCTAAATTCTCCTGTTCGATGAGTACTAGGTGCCTCGGTGAATGTATATGCTCTGACTTTAACATAGCTGTTTCTGTGACCGGTTACAAGCTAATCACTCAGCTATTTCAATCCTAAATTCTATGCTAATTCCTTTGTGCAACGGGTACTTCTGCGGATGTGTATACTTTAACTTAGCTATTTCAATGAGCCATTTCAATGCTAAATAATATGCTAATTCCTTTGTCAAGGCGCTTGGTGTTTTTCTTCTCACACAGCTTAAAGGTCGTGAACTAAGCGTGGCTTCTTCCACTCCAGCGCTGTCCTCCAGACAGTCTCGTCCCTTCACCTGATGAAGGCCGCTTGTGTTGTGGCCGAAACGTCGTGATTTTTTGTTATTTTATTTTCACCTACGTGACTTTACCCAATAGAACCAAAGAGTATCTGTTATGTACATCGCTCGTGAAACGTTAGGAACCCCCCCGCCCCAAACTACGATACGAACGCAAAGCCTGAAGTAGTCGTTGATGATTCGGGGCTGCTGGCACTTTGATCCAGACTCCACTCCAGATCCTCGCTCCAGACTCCACTCCTGATCCTCGCTCCAGACTCCACTCCTGATCCTCCCTCCAGACTCCACTCCTGATCCTCGCTCCAGACTCCACTCCTGATCCTCGCTCCAGACTCCACTCCTGATCCTCGCTCCAGACTCCACTCCTGATCCTCGCTCCAGACTCCACTCCTGATCCTCGCTCCAGACTCCACCCCTGATCCTCCCTCCAGACTCCACCCCTGATCCTCGCTCCAGACTCCACTCCTGATCCTCGCTCCAGACTCCACTCCTGATCCTCGCTCCAGACTCCACTCCTGATCCTCGCTCCAGACTCCACTCCTGATCCTCGCTCCAGACTCCACTCCTGATCCTCCCTCCAGACTCCACTCCTGATCCTCCCTCCAGACTCCACTCCTGATCCTCGCTTCAGACTCCACTCCTGATCCTCGCTCCAGACTCCACTCCTGATCCTCGCTCCAGACTCCACTCCTGATCCTCGCTCCAGACTCCACTCCTGATCCTCGCTCCAGACTCCACTCCTGATCCTCGCCCCAGACTCCACTCCTGA